CAACGACAGTCAGCAATTTTGAAATCTGAAGCTAGTAAAGTTGCTTAAATTGAGAGCATCCTGGTGACAGTGGAATATCTGCATTTTTATTAATTATTTGTCACAGTTTATACAAAATTAAATGGTGAATCTAAATCAATAAGACGTTAGTATATTTGTTAGCCAAAATTAGTCAGATAATAGGATTTTCTTTGCAGCAGGTACAGTTCGTAATTTCAGGAACAACGATTAATTCTGAATTTAAAAAATATAAATTAAGTAGGCACTAACTTTTCCCTTCGCTTAGGCGCAGAACGTTTTTTTCGCCAAATGTGGCCACATACACTTGCTCACTATCTTCATAAATTTTGGTGGTGAGTGAGCAAGGGAAGTAGTCAACCGCTCTAATCCACAATTCCTATTTAACATTATTCTAATCCCGCGTAACGCTGTAGGAAAGTTAGTTTGTGTCCTAGGCCAGTGAATTATGCAAATAGGACTGAAATAGTGTAGTTTCGTATAAGTTTTCCTGTTTGATATCAATACTGGGTAAGAACTGCTTTTCATCTTAATTCTAGAGTCCGTAAGTAGCATAAAGACGGAGGGGAAGAATTGGGGCAACGCTGGTCATTTTATTAAGATTACCCTTTTCCGGTCGAAGAAATCACTTGTATTTTGGAGAATTTTCTGCGCTTTCGTGTTTACCACTTTAAAAAAATACTAATTCACATTTTTACTAAGCCATTTAAGGCAACCAAATCCAAATTTTCATTTCTTATCTTCTTGAGCGATGTTGAGAGTGCGATTCGAGCTATAGTTAATGAAAGTTGGTGTCATTGCTTTAAACCTCGACATTGCAATCATTAAAAATAAACCAGAACTGCAAAAATAAGGTGTGCAAAACCTGTATTGCCATCAGGTATTTGTATTGTACGCAGACTATGTAAGACTTAAATTCCCCATTAATGAAACCTAGAAATGGAGCGGCGCCATTCCAATTTCATAATCCAACAACTTCACGTGTTATACTATCATTCCCTCGGGATTTTCAACAAATTAAGGTCTCATGTCCCGATGCAAAACTGCAGTAAATGATGGGTTTATTTGTGAGGTATATATAACAAGGTCATACCGACATCCAGACACTTTTTTGTGACCCACAGTTAAGCAAAGCAAGATAAATGCAGTAGCGATCTGTGTAAGTCTTATAGTATTCCTACCTGAACAGAAGGCAGTGAGAATTGGATGCCAAAATGAAATATTTCTTTGCAGTTCTCAACATCGTGTCGGAGGCCCTTCAATTTGATCACCGGAAGAAGATGCATACAAATCGCAAGTTAAAGTATGAATTGTTTCAAGTGATGTGACTTCAAAGTAATATATTTGTTATAGTGTTCAAGTTCACAATATGGAAGGTTGGATTTGTTGGCGATTTTTGGTCCTTCCTGATAGATTGCAGGTAGCTAATTTTTGGTGAGGGGTTAAGAGCAGGGATACCATGGAGGATTGTTCCACCCACTACGGGATCGACTAGGAGGAGGAAGGAGCCCAGTACCTGGCCATCAGGTAACTAGGACAGTAAATACACGCTAGTGTTAAACTTCATCTGGTACACTGCGCGTGAGGATTAACTTTCTCTTACATGTCCACCGAGTGCTTACATAATCATGCACGCCAGCACGTAACCATGGTGGTTGAGCCGCACGGGCCAGGGCAAAATACATCACGGACGGTCGATGGAGCAGCAGTGGTCTCATTGGCTGACTCCCACGTGGCCACGGCGACACGTGCTGGCCAAGTCTGGTGGGATGGGGCGGGAGTGAGTGAGCGAAGGAGTAGAAGGGAGCGCATGCAGGAGCAAGTGAGACGGACAGAGGGAGGCGGAGAGCAAACGAGAGAGAGCGAGAGCTAGCGAACGAGCAAACTCTGTGTATGCGTGTGCCTTTTGCCATCGCCTACTCAGCTCTGGCGCGCGCATTCTTCCGGCTTTTTCGTGTGGTGACACTCCAATAAATTATTTTCCCAATAAGGCGAACTTCGAGGAGGAAAGTGAGATGGCAGGAACGCGAGCTGATCTGTAAAAAATTTTAATCCCACGGATTACATGCCTTCATTGCGGAAATTAATCACGGCGGGATTATGCTCTTCACAACTCGATCTCTCCTGCTATCTAAAACTTCTATTTAAGGTAGGATATCATTAAAATTGTTTTTGCTCACTAAAAAGGTTTTTATCTTTGGTCATTAGAAATTTATACATTTTAGCTGATAGAAAATCATGAAGTTATCTTCTCTGGATCGCAGACTATGATTCATGCAGGTGTCTTGTGGACATAAAAATCACACGTCAACAATGAAATAGCTAAAATCCTACCAGCCATTGCTGACAATGCAAGCGGGTTGAAATAACCCATTAGTGCCTTAGATGCTCAAATTCAGCACCCCTGCTATGGGTTGGTGGGAGACTCTAGATTCACGAGGCCAGCAGTTTCGAATAATGGCATTTGCATCACTATGGCAGCAGTGGTATGAGGCCGAAATATTATATTTTAAATCGCGTTCTTTGCAATTTTAATAAAATTTTGATTTTTTTGGGAAAAAAATAATTACTTTGACAACTAATTGTCATTTAGTCATTCCACCATCCCCATGTGACATATGGAGCTTCATGAATTCCGCTTTTAAAGCTCTGAAATCCATCCAAAATTGATTTGAGGGCATTAATAGCACCTTTTTAGGAAAAAAGTCACCGGATTTCGAACCTGCAAAGGTGTTTTATGCAAAAATTGTTAATAAATGATTCCCTTATCGTAGCATAAGTGTAGACGTTTCCAAAATGAAGCGAGATGGAATTTTTTCTTAATGAGTTTGATTTATTTGCTTTAAGAGTATCCACGTCGTAAAATATCACCTGATAACAATGATAATCGTAACGATGGCTTAATTTTTCTTGCAACCATCCAAAAATGACGGGTTTTTTTACCCAAACATGGAATAAATTCGATTCCGAAGTTGAGAGAATCGAAATGTTTTTTTTTCCACAAAATAAATGTACCTTCACAGCATCTTTATGCTAAAACCACGAACAGTCCAAAAAGGCGAGCGTTCACGTTTAATGCGATTCACTAATTGATACTTGGGCGAAGGTAAGATTGAATTTGTAAAATTTAGCAGTTAACAGACTAAATTCGCTATAAGTAGTGGCTGTGGCAGCACATGATTAGAAAAAGTGTTGAGTTTTTTTACGTTCTTATACGGGAAATATGCTCGCAAAATAAAGCCTATTATAAACAACACGGCTAGAGCAATTAAAGCACAAACTTTTGTTTAAACAGGTAAGTGGCAGATGAACTGTTTGGAGAAAGCAGATAGCATAAATTTTAATACAATTGTATAGTTTAGTGAGTTAAAAATAACCAAACGCACTGTTTAAGGTCTTGATTCCAAATTAATAATTGCCAAAATTGTTCACACAGTCTGTCTGCGCTTCAACTCAAGCGTGCTTTCGGAAACTGGATGAAGTTTTCCATTAAAAAGAACTGCATTCACTTTGTATCTTGATGCCACACTCAGATGCTGTCAAATAGACATTATATCAGGTAACCATTACGTCCTCATGTTTTTCGAAAATCGAGTACCCAGTGTGTTCGTGAGTCGAGATACCCGCGTCGGGGACAAGTTGGGCTACCCCATGTAAACGTTTACTTACCTGAACTATTTTTGTCCGGATGGTTTCGTTAAGATCGATCGGTATCTCTAATAATTAGCAAACGAGTTACGATTTTTTTGTTGTTTGAACTTTATTTTAGCAGGTTCGTGTCGTTTCTGCGCACTGAAAAAGTAGTACTTCATCCTAAAATTTCACCACCACTTTAATTAGTCACTTCATTTATGATATCATTGTGGGATGTCTTAGAGTACAAATTTGACTTTGCTAATTCCTTTATAACTTATTCTATAGTACACATTAGAGCTTCTTCTTGAAATATTTAGAAGGGATTTGTTTCTACTGATCAGAAGCATTGAAAGTATTGGAGGAAAATGATTCCAAATCAAATCTAACCTCAAAGGGAACCAAAAATCCTGTTTGTATATTATCTCAAACCTTCCAAGCGTGAGCACTCACACAAACTCTGGTTATTTTTTTGTACTTTGGATTAGCTGGAAGGAAGTGATTGGTGACCTGACTTCTCCATATGTTGGATGCAATTTTATTTTTATAATTTATTCTCCTTGCTATGAGCAACCAAACTAAATAATCACAGCAAATAAATTAACATCGATGCAATCACCAGTTTACATAATAGTGACCTCCTAAGCATAATTGTGACAAATAACACTTTCGATAATTTTACTGCGTAAAATTTCTGCCATCACAGGAAATATGAGCGATTCTTAAAATCCCTTCACTAATTTAATAAGAATGCCTGTTAAATTTGCGCGATCCTTTACAACCACTGGCACTCTCGTGACATTTGCAATAATGGATTTTAAACCATAGCGCTACTGGGGAGAAAATGTAGTATTTTTTCGACTTCCTTTTGTAGGCAATTCTAGGTTAATTTGATCCAGTATGTAGAGATATTCCCTAATATTATCAAGCAAGATATTTTTGGTTTTGTTTGTTTGTTGTTTTGGTTTACTCAATGTTAAAATTACGGGCGGTTTCGAATAATGGCATTATCTAATTCGAAAAATCTGTTTACTAACTTAGAATGACAAGTTTGCCTTACGATAGCCCGACGTTCCATAAGTTTGCAGGTATGGGCTGGTGATTAATTGGAGCCTTTACCTGGAGAAAATTTTAGTGTTACCAACATCGTTTTTCATCCTTAAATCAACAAAGCACGGCGTGTTGGTTATATGTCATTAATGAAGTCATTTGCGCTTGAGATGGCAAAGTAGGCAAAGTGTAAGAACCAAGTAACCTTTTATAAGGGTGAATAGTCAAATTAAAAAATAGAAATTGAGTCATTTTGCAAGGGTCGTTGATAGATAATTCTGATGTTACGTTGAAAACAAAAACATCGTTTTGTAGAATATTTTTCATTTCATTCCAAAATGACAGAATTGGGGAATACACTCCCGTCACCAAGGTAAAAAATATGGGTGTTTTGTTTTTTCCCACAGCAAAAATGTCTAAAGTTGGGGACTTAAGCAAACATCTCGCCTAATCCAGCTAAACCCGCCGTAATTATAGGGAAAAATGTCTCCACCGCAGTGGCCGTTCACTCTAGTTTACCACAAACACACTGGCTAATAACGCCGCAGGCCTGAATTGCCGCATATTTTTTTTAAAGTGCTGTATAGAGGCGTAGAATTTCGGGGCTTGTCTTCCCAACATCGACAAGGTCCAATGTGCTGCATCGGAGGAGGCCACCTCCCGCACTCTTAATGGAAACTCTCCTTAAGGTAGGTCATTTAAATGACTTTGAATATTTGCTATAATAGACGAGGATATGAATAAATCTGTTGATTAGGGAAGCATTCGTAGCACACAAACAAAAGTAGTCACGGGCAAATTGGTAACTTTTTCAACTGGAGTCTTGTTACGTACTTTGTGGTAAAATTCTTTTACAAAATACAAACGATTTTATTTTGAGGAGGAGTGCATTACTTCCCACATCGCCTAGAATCAACTCATTTTCGGTTTAACTGAGCGCCTTTGTGTCAGAATATTCGACAAAATGTCATGCGAGTTAACAGAGTAATTGCTGCCTCATCGCAGGAGGCTCCGGGGCTCATTTTAAGTACATCTAGTTATTTTTTGTCCACAATAGGAGAACACCTTGATCAAATCAAAAATATCATTTACTTAGACAAAAAGGAGTGTTTAAGAGGGATAGAAATGGTGAAATCAGTGACCAGTGCTTTACAGTTAAGTCTTACATGGGAAGATCGACTTGACTACCGTGAAAACTTGTTTTATTTGATTTTTTGAGGAGCTACAAGAAAGTTTTGAACGACGTCAACAGCTCAGCTTTGAAAATTCGGAAATAAAAGCACAAATAACCGAGAAGATTGGTCAACTCCCGCAAAGCCTCGAATCCAGTACCTTAACGGAGTCGCATTTCGAAGTCGAATTTCCCGAACACGCGGTAATTGGCAACATATTTAACCACCGATGAATGCGATTTTAAATGACCTATAAGGGCATTTTCGTTTCCAAATTGACAATTAAGGTATTGTCTGTTGCCTGTACGAAGTCAGTTTGGGGATATTTTATGGGTGAATGCTATAATCTTTGCGCAGTGAAGGAGCCGTACCAAGTCTCTGCATTCATAGGGGTACGTATCCTAGAATTTGGTAACATAAACTCATTATAATGAGCAGTTAAAGATTAATATTACTTTCCCAGAGCGGTAATTTAAACACTAAATAAAAAGGTACTTTATGAGGCGGTTTGATATTATGGATTCGCCAAATGAATGTACCCACTGCCAATTAGATTAAGTCAGGGAGTAAATTAATAGAGTCCCGTAAAATGCACGAGACTTCTCTTTTGAGAAGGGAATATCTAAATAATTGGAATTAATCAACTATATTCCCAGATGGGTTCGTTTAAATTGCTCGTTTTTTTTTCAGCCTGCGGTTGCTGAACTCAAGGAAGCAATCGAGAATCTCAAGGTGAGGGAATTTAGTCAGGTACTTGGATAAGAGGGCGCTTTCGTGGGTCTATAGACAGTCAAGCTTCGTTTTCCTTTTGCCCACCTATTTTAAAACTAGACCCACAACCACTTTGGTGTTTGGAAAAGCTGTCACTCGCAAACCTACCAATTTACATGGCTGATTTGATAGTGGATTTTTGGCGAAGAAATTTCAGACATTTGGTGAAAACTTCTCTCGGTACATTAAACTGTCGCCTTATTTACCAACGGACAGATGAAACAAATCTTCCTCAGGCGTTATATCTGTTCCATGTGTTATCGCCAGACTTCAATGAGTATAACTGACCTTGGAGTATCCTTTTTTATACTAAAAATAAATTTTTTAGTTAAAAGCTCCAAAATACTTAGACATATGGGGATACTATAACTGGTTTTAAAATAACGACTAATATGTGTGGAAGCGTTTATAACCCCATGGTGGGGTGCTCAGGTTCACCATGCACTCGAAGTGAGGCACAAAAAACATCTTAAAGGTCATTTGAACCAACCCTGATTCTTATTTTTGTAGAGGCATGTTGGTGCCATTTCATAAGCGTATCTTTGACTTAGGATTGCCTTTTAAACTTCTCCCCTTTTGGAGCACAATTTGTTCCCAAATGTGAGTATTGCTGTGGAACCAGTGTAGCAGTACAGGTGGCATACGATATCAACAGAAGAGTCATTCGGCGTGAAAAGAGTGGGATTAGTGAAAGGCTGTATCGGTGTTTGATTTCAATTTTTAAAATGAGCTACTGTGATAAGAAACCTTGATACGACCATGGAAGATAGAGCCGTGGCGCCATACTCTAGGCGCTAATCAGCAGCAGGCTCCGGCGCTAACGCCCACTTGCTCAACCACTTTGAAGCATTAAAACAACCTGAATGGTTGGATAACGTTAATGCAAATTAGGTGGGACATTCTTAGAACAGAAATGGTTTGAGAACTTCTAGGGAGAGAAAATCAGTAATGCGTTGCCATAGACTTTTTGCAGTTTCTTTCTCCCCATTTTCTTCTCACTCACTCACTCCCGCTTTTTGTTAATAGATTGTCGTTAAGATTGTGTATACTTTGTGCGTATGTTTTAATTTATTGCCATTTAACTACTTGATTAATCCATAAATAAGCAAGAGGAGGGAATCATCTCCTATTCATTTGCTTAATGCGCATTCCATTCTGTCGTAAGTTAACTCTCAGATAAACTATGATCAATTTAAAAAGGAGAGAAAGTGGTAATCCTACCTGATTAAATCTGCTTCCAATATTCAGAAATCCTACAATTTAAAAGGCAAATTATCATTACGAAAGGAGTCTCCTGTTTGCAATCATAGGCTTGGCCAATGAAAATAGTTGTTCCTGTGGTCGGGACCTCTTTGTTCTCATCTGGTTATTCACCTAACTAATTAGACGCGACTTCGTGATTCGGAGCGACGTTGCGCTCTCGAAACGCTGCGCTACGAGGAATTGCTTCTAGAGCTCGAGTCTTCACGAATGCGACAAAAGTACGAGAGCCTTGAAGTCGTTGGGGGTGTTCACTCGTCAGCCTCCGCCACATCCACCACCCTCCCCAACGGTCTGGAATACGTAATTTCACGGAAAGGAACCACTTCTACTGACACCACCAGCTTCAAGCATTCCTGCCCTGGTAGGTCTTAAGGGTATTTGGTTAATGAGGGGAAGTTTACTAAAAATCAGCACCCAATTATTGAGGAAATCAATAAAAATCAGTTAAAATTTTCTCGTACAAATGTTTATTGGCTAAAAGTGATCGCACCTAGAGATCATATTTCTTGAAATTTAAGCAATATACTAGTTTCTACCGTATAACCACTTACATTAGCTAAATACACTACTGTCATAAGAACGTTGGTTTAAATATGAATTGGCTTCAAATGCAAACTCATAAAGCTCGTCACAACCATATTTCCCAAACAATGCCTATTCGTTTGTGCACTTACGCCAGGGGTTGAGCTGCATGGTGATTCAATGGATTCCAGAAACCTTGACTTTTCCATACCTTGAAATACTAATGAAACACTTTGTTGAGGAATTGCTATATTACAAATATTATAACCTACTTCTGCTAGAGCGAATCAACTGTGCTTCTCTGTCTTTTTATGCTAGTAAGGAGTAAATTATTGGAATTTGCAGAAGACAGACAGAATCACGACTGGTACCCATCGAAAGTGGGAAATTTTCAAGTCGACGGGGAGTGGAACCTTCCCAAAAGAGGTGCGTCTTAAGTCGTAGAGAGCATTATGCAAAACTACTCAGGCCTCAAATCATTCTGCCGCCCTTTAAATTATCCCCTAAATACCTCTAATTATTGTCCCACACTTTCACGAATAAAAGCTTTTAATGCTGAGCCGAAAACACATTTTTTTGGAGGAGCCTGAAATGTTAGCGATTTGCGGCCTTAATTCTATCTAGAATTCATTATCTGAGAGAGGTTTGGCCACTTTAAATTAAATAAAGACCATGTGCTGCATTTTGTTCCTCACATTGGTGGAAGAAGGTTAGTCAAAAATAAAAAGATTTATCATTTATTAACAGAATGTGCATTCCATTTTCTTTGGAGAACTTCTAAAACATTCGACTTCTTTTCGCATAGTACCTGCGCCCCGAGGAATAGCGTTGGAGAAGCAACTAACTCACAGCGCAATTGTGAGTTGGAAACCACCAGGATTTCTCCAGAATGAGGAGGAGGAAGTGACTGCCTATCATGTCTACGCCGATGGTCAATTTCGAAATTCCGTGGGCGGACATGAGAAGTGTCGAGCCTTGGTTGAAAATATTGATAGCTCCAAGGTGCATTGCCGAGTTTTAGCAAAATTTGAAAATAATTGTTGTCTTCAATTAGGTAATGAGGTTGGTTAAAGTAGAGTGCCTTTACTATCTAACGCTTTGCTCCTTGTTACTTCAACGTAGAACACGAAAGCAAAACTTTTCTTATCTCAAAATTTTTCTAAGGGTCAAACACACTTTAGAGAATTCAAACAGCTATAAACAATTCATTTTGGAATAGAAATGATATGGGTCAATGATGTCTCCAGCGTCCTAACATCGCTACTAAATATCGTGCAAAAAATTCACCGTTTTTTTTGTGTTAGCAATACAATTAAAGGCAGAAAGTCTATGAATACATCCATTTTGGAAAAGTAGAATGAGTTCTGTCCCTTCCTGAAATGCTAAATCTTCGAATATGCACACTTTTGAAAGATTCCATTTACGGAGATTGTCCCATAATTTATAATCATACCTGACACAATAGTTCGGCGAAATTTCCTTTACTTCTAATTTATTTCGATTTAAAGTTAGAAAACAAATAATGCTAGTATGTGTACATGACGAGAGCAAGTGGATCCAGGTGCCTATGTTACAGTGGCAGAAACCCTGATGACTATGAAAAAGCACGTTTTGTCCATAAGACTTCTTGTTTTTGTATATTGAAGTATTTTACTTATTGTGATGATGATTATCAGGAATCTGTCCATGGTGCAAATTTGATTAAAGACTTTTCCCATTTTACTTCAGAAGGAGGATTATTTCAGCCAAACAAGGTTGTAAAGATACGCTGATCGTAAATTCATATTTGAAATCACCGAAGCTACATGGTTATAAGGAATTGAGCCAGTTGTAAAGGCCGGTGTATGAAATTGGGGTGCTTGCAGTGATACAAACCTTCCAGGTAAACATAAATAATTGCGTTTAGCATCGGAGTGTGGCCTCAAAAATATCTTCGTCTAAATTCCCCAGGGTGTGTCCCTTTGTATAACTACACCTTAGTAGCTTCTATGGCGTCAAAGTGCAGGAAGTTTTGAAAGAAATCAACGGTATCGCTCTACTTTAAAAGAGTTGAATCACTCTTTCACTTTTCTATTGACTTTGAATAAGTTCACCTAGTGCAAAATCAGTCTAGATGTTGTAGGTAATTCAGCACAAAGGCTTTTATTTTCGCCTAAGAGCAAATCGGTATTTTCAAATCAGTAAGCCGAGGTCGGAACCGCAATCAAGAGCCGAAATTCCTTGTATAATAGACGCCATTTAAAGTCTTCAAAGTTCAAGCAAGCACACCCTGAAGTCACAATCGTTCTGGAAGACATATTTGCAACAGGTTTTTAAACAGGGGTTTGCTTTCGTTCAATGCCGGTTTCGTTTACTCCCTATGGTTCAAGATTTAATTTTGGATGACCGCCAAATAGTTGACATATTTTTACGTTCCGCTGTCCTCAGTCAATGAAAATCCAAGTTACTCTTTTGCAGCAAACATCTGATCCACTTACATATAGGTCGTCTTTGAGGCACCAACGAGAGCTCCCGTAAGCTCTATAAGTGAAAACTTTCCAGCATACCCTGCTGCAATATCAAAAATGGAGTTCTTGAATTATTATTAATGGCATTATAGTGCTTTATGTGAAGCAAGCAGAAGTGGGAAGACAGCGCTATGAGCGGTCTGCAGAGAATAACTAAGGATTTAAGAGACCTCGATTCTTAGCCTCACTAATCAACGCAAAAATCATTTCACTATCCTATCATGATGAATGGGCTTTGGTCGAGCTGAGTGACAAGGCAAGTGGGACCTTCCCCCCCCTGCTATCCCCTTACAGCAACATCGGATATCGATAAGGACAGTGACAGGACGGGGTCAATCGAAAGACGCGGAGTGCACTCTGCTGGTGGGAAAAGGGGCAAGTGCAGCGCCTTCACGTCTCAAGGCTTCCCATATCACCACCAATTCCGCAAAACTTTCCTGGCTGCCTGGCAGTAGCAACTTTTACCACGCAGTCATCCTCAACGATCACGAGCTCCGAGTCTGTCCACCCGGCGTCTACAAACTCTTCCTCACTGGTACGTTCAGGCTCTGTGTAATCACCGAATCGTTGGAAATACTTTAACGGATTGCGAGATCAATGATGCACTTTAAAACGAGTGGCTTAATAACCTAAAATTGTTTAATCACACGCTTTCTTTATTCCTCTGGCACATATATGGTGAATAATATTGCACTTTGCCATTGTCTTTTCACTTCCAGCCTCTATACTGCCACTTCATAGAACTTAACCATTTGCTAAGCTTTTCCGAAATAATTCATTTTATTCCCATTTCCCTAAACTTAATCGTTAACATGAACCTTTGGTACATGCTTAAAATAGGTGCAACAGGAGTTGAAGATAAAAATTAGCAAGAATGTCATAGTGGTAGGAAAATAAAGGAATTTAGAGTTTTTAAAAGAAAGTGAGTTCCTCACGATATTAAAACTAGGAGAGGCATTCCTCCAAAAGAGCTTTCTCTGTTCGCGATCAAGTGTTGTTTTCAAACCACTAAGGCAATCGCTCTTTTACTGCCTCAGGTTAAAAAATCCCTTCCCTTGAATGCAACTCTGCCGGGGGTACTAATTATTAATTTCCCCCTTAAAGCAATCTTATAGTCAATTCCATCCTCTTTTGCAGATGGCTAAAGGCATACTTAATGACAAATTTTGAATTTATATCCCCCACGAAGTACAACCAAGTGCTAAAAGTTTCCGAGCTGTCCACTTTTTGGAAAGTTTGGTTTTACCAACAAAGAGTATCATTCACATCTATTCAGGGGTATATTAGTGGGTCTGTGGGTATATTTAGACAAATTGATGGGAATTGGAGCATAAGAAAATAAACCACGTAAATTTGTTCTGCAGGCCAAATTCTCTCCTTCCTAATATATGTCTTGCCTAAATTCGCGAGCGTTTTATTTCCTTAATTAATGTTTATCTACAGGGGACCAAATTCTAAGGCTGGAATGGCCTACAAAATATAATCCAAATTTTAGTGCCTTCCACTATTTATTTGCTGTTTCGGTAGGGGGCTTTCATGAATGTTGGTATAGGAAGTTGCGTGAGACCACCAAATCCAACCTGCAACAGCACGTCAATGACCCCCCCTACCCCCGCCCTTGACACTATTACCTTCTTGTGAGTTGTCACGGTTCACAAATGCATGCAGTTGCAGCGTGCATGCACTGGGTTGGAAATTTTATCAAAACGTACCGCCTTCTAGATGCCATTAATACACTCCTGATGCTGTACTGGAGACCATTTTACGTGACAAATTGGTAATTATTCCAATTCCCTCCAGCGTCATAACGTTATAGGTGGTATACTTATTTTCCCCATAGCCATGTAGAACCAGCCTATCAAAAACCATACGATTTCTGTTTACCTGGTGCTTCACAATACAATATTCCCGTTTCAACTGGTGCTATTTAATAGATAGGTTCAGAGTGTGCCTCAGTTGGTCTAACTAAATAAACGTTGAAGTAACCATCATTCAATTATTTTTGTCAAAGGTGAGGCACCTAGATCACTCCTGAAGATGTGGTTCTGAATAGGCGTCTCAAGGCAGGCTTGTGAGGACAGTGTGTGCAGAGCCTCATCCAGGCTTCTTGGAAATCCAGTAGTGGGGGCTGCGTTGATCAGCGTATACATGTATCTAATTAAAGCATATTTCAGCCTAAAAAATAGCTGCAAACGATCCAATAATCTTAAATTGTTTAATGACAATAACTGTAAACAAATAGAACCTGTTTGCTCGGAGGCATAACGGAAAACCTTTGAGTGTTAACTTTTCGAATGATATCTGAATCTACTTGTTGGATTGGCAATAGATCTTTTGAAGTGTATAACGATAGACCATTTTAGGATGAAAAAGTGTAACAACTGCAGGAACTCTGATTCATCGCAAGTTTTGGCGTGTATCTGGCGGAGTTTGAGAGTTTGAAGGTGTTAAAGATTAATGTATATGTATGGAGGAATGTGGGGATGTTTGTTAATCATTAACTAGTTATTAATTACTCATTTCTTGGCAAAAAGAAAATAATTACAAAGCGATAGGAATTCTTTGATCCGCATTAAACTTAAGAAGGAATTGGGTCATTACAGGTCTTCCGCCAAACACCCTTCATCGTGTCCGGGTTGAAGCAAGACGCACGAGTGGATCCAGTGAGCCTCCACTGAACACCCAATGCCTTCAAGGGAACCCTTCCTCCGACGACCACAAAAGGAATTCCGATACAATTGAATTCCAAACCGCTCCTATTGGTATGCGAAAAATAAATGCATGACAAGTGAAGTATTACCTTGTGTGTTTTAGTTAATAAGATACTTATTAAGCACGATGTTTCGATGAATGATTTTGGAATTGATATACATGAGAATTAACCAAACAACCCTTCTACTACGAAATGGATAGGCGAAAAAGGGAACATTAAAGCATCAGCCTATATACTTACCATTAGGGTTCATTTGAACAATTTTCCTGATTATTGTATTAAAGTTGGTTGACCTACCTGAAACCCTAACAGTTGATCTGAACGTCATCAGTAAACGTTTGTTTCAACTAACCATTTTGAATTGCATGCCACTCTGGAAAAAGCTGAAAGATATGGAAGAGTTGTCCATTCATCCGACATAATTGGAACCATGCCAAATCGTCTATCCTAATATTTTGATTATGCTCGTGCAAGATGGTGATTTTAACTGGATATTTGATCGTTAAAAGGCCTCCCGGATCCACCGAAGAACGTCCAAGTGGAGGCCGGCCCCCAGGATGGCGTTCTTCTTGTATCATGGCGACCAGTCCCACAGGCAACCCACGTTCTTCCCAATTGTAAAAATGAACCCCTCGTCCAAGGCTATACTGTGTGCATTAACGACAAGCCCCTCATCGATGTGCCTGGTGTTGATTGTAAGTCTGAAAAACCGAATTATTCAGTATCGAGATGGGATTTCCTTTTCATTCCGCATTACGTTTGAGCTCCCTCTATCCGTGACGTAGCATCGATGCTGTGATGCGGAAAGTCCATTTTGTTCCCTAGCGAAATGTCACATTTCCTCCCCAGAACCTATTAAGCATTTTGTTGTTGGCGCTGCGATTTAATTTGTGCCGCGGTGCTCTAAAAAAAGTCTCAAACTGCTTTAGGGTAGTTACTCTCGACTGACTTAAAGTGTAATGCATTTACCGTTTTCCGCATTTCTATCATACCTCCAAGAAGTGTTCCTCTATTAAAACACAATTTAATCCATCCAACATAGATCACATGCACTATCTTAAAGATTATAGGCATAGATTTAGCCATAATTTCGAGGCGAATTTGTAGATCTTCAGTAATCCAGATTAATGTGTAGAGATACTGGATCAGATCTAGTAGCAGCTAAATTGCTATGTAGATTTCATATCTAGGAGCAATTTATGAATATGAATTTCATACCTATAAACCCATTTGAAAAGGTTAAGACAAAATACTTTTCTTTTAAGAAGTGAAAGCTAGAATGTCAGTTATCGCATTGAAAGTGGTAATGAAATGGTCTTTATTTTATATCCTGATGGCTTCATACTTCAAGGGTTCTTCTGCCACCACTTTCCTTCATTCATATTTGTCTATCTCGTAATGCTTTATGATAACAGTGTAAATTATTCATGAGTGAGCACTTCAGATTTTTTAGTTATTAAATGGAGATAGACTAATCCTCTCTGTGATTTGCAGACTTGTTAAAAATGTTCCCGCACACGTAAATTTCTAGCTTAAAGTAACTCATGCTCCTCTCCTACTAAACCTAGGGATGTCAAGAATCAAAGCATAGGTTGACTGATTACCCATTTTTAGTTTTCTTATGACCTCTTCAGCTTTTGTCTTTCTGTTGTCAAGACTCAGTTCCCAAGCTCTTCTGCCGTTCCTTCTGGTTTTACTTTTTTATCTGATGAACGTTCAGTGTGCTCCTCATCATTACATTAAAGTCGTCTTATTCAGTCTTTTTAGTTGATTCTGCAACTGAGCATTTATCCTCAAAACTAACCTAGCATTCTGGGAGCGATGAACGAATGCTTCAGGTACACGTTCTCCGTAAAACACTTAGTCCATTAACATTTGCGTGTGCATTTACCGGCCATTTTCATTCAGGATAGCAACTCATCTTAAGCCACAAGAGCACCAGGCTTTCCAAAATGAAGTAGATGCATGGAATGCTCAGATGTGATTGCCTACTGGCTCTTCGTGCATTTGACAATTTTCTGTTTAGCATTGTGGAAGTATAGTACTTCTGTCTCCAAATCACAAATTCACTTCTATCAGTTAAAAATTTCGTTCTAAAATGACACATTGGCCATTGTTGGGTGAAACCCCAATTTAGGATTTAGGTTTGAAATTGGGTATTACAAGCACACACGGTCTTACCAAGCATCTTTTCTCAACGGCAGTTCAGAGTGGCGGTGGCAATAGCGACCCACAGACTTTCATGTTTTGGCTTCCACTGAACTTTTCTTGAGGGCATAATGAAGTAGTTGTATGGACAAGTGAATGATTCTGTGTTTTATGTTATATCTGTCTCAGATAAATAGGACATGGCTTTACTAGAAATATTCCTAAAGATTTTGAAATTCACTTTTGTTAAAATATTTGTACGGTAATTGAAGATGTTTAGTAAAAATATTCTAATTACATTTAGGGCAAAGTTCCGCAAATCTGCCTATTCTTGATGTTGCTTCAGAGTAGCATTATTTGTTAGTATTTACAAAGTTCTCCTTAGTTCCGCTTTAACCTATCCACATGACATTTCGTGCTAATTAAAATAAGTAAGCAGAAAAGTGGGTGATTTTATACGTCTACTTTACACATTACAGGTGATCACGTGCTCCTTCCACTGCGACAACTAGCAACTCTTTTAAAGAGTCCTGAGTTCACACTAGCCACTCGGGGAGCCCGACAGCTTCAGCGTCAACGTCAACACCCTCCCCCTTTGTTCCTACCTCAGTCCCATCATTCAAGGAATGTCACGACGACCGAGGAGGACGCGTCGGAGGCAGACTCCTCACAGTCCACTGGTGATAGCCTCTCTGACCTTCGAAACGAGGAGGAAGAGGAGGAGGCGAGGAGCGACCCGAGCCCCGAAGAGCTCTGGCTCACCGTCTACTCCACCCTCTCCGCCAACACCGCCCTCTCAATGAACAAAAATGGCACTGCGGGAGAAAAAAAGGGTTCCTCTGGACCTGCCTCTCCACCCATAAAATTAATTCCCAACCTCCTTCTCCTTGCTGCCGGCTCATTAGAAAGCGCTGTTGAACTCTTTGGTAAACGGCTTTCAAAGCGTCTGGGCCTTGTAAGTCCCCGAAGCAGAATACTTGGGTCAATGCGGGGCAAAGAGCGCCATAATTCCTATGTTTTTTTAATAAGGTTCTGAATGCTAAACATAAAAGGCGCTTTGCTAAGAAGGATTAGTTCCATTATCCCCAGGTGCATTCTAATAAATTCATTGATATGAATTTCAAAGAAGGCTGAGTTTATGGATGCTTTTGCTTAATAAATATTTAAAAGACATCAAAACGTTCTGTTTTTTTATGATTGAATCTATTTCCTTGCCTATTTCTGAGCAAATACTACACAGAGATCGTGAATTTAAGCATTAATATTTGTCTTAAGCGTTGCTTTAATACACGTTAAGAAGAACTGAGTCCTCTAAATATCTTTGGGTAAACGTATTTCTAAAGCTTTTTCTGGGTGAAACTCGAAACACTGCGTCCTTTTTACAAGGCAAACAGTAGAATAGACTAATATATCAAGCCTTTAAAATGTATAGTGAATTTTTTCTCTATGGTTTATTGTCCCTTCCATTTCCCGGCGAAAAGGTGCGGTCGCGCTAAATTTGAACATCTGTAACCTTGTCTGGCGCAAGTTATGGTCACCTGGACTGAGGCAGTCCCATGTCCAAAGTTTATTAGCTGGCTGGTCGGATCTGTTGTTTTTTACGAATGAAGTACGCAGACAAGTTCACCCATTAACCTCTCAACTTTGCGACCAATCTATGAGAGTACATTCACGCTGAAGTGATTAACTCACTTAGAGAAACATTAGATTTATGCGGCAAAACTAACGGATTTTCTGCCGTATAAATAGGATTATTGTTAATTTGGTCATTTTGAGAAATTGGGTGGACAAAGTGTACGCATTGAGTAGGACTTTCCCAAAAAACCAGCACTTTTTAGAGCACCAATAGAGAGATTCTAGTTAATGCAAGTGACTTGCCGTGGTTAACAATCAAGAAAATAGAGTTGCTTGTTCAAGGTTGCAACCTCGAACTCATATAGAAGCATAAATTCATTTTACTTAACTAAAAGTCTCTTTGATTTCTACTTTCTTCAACAGATTTATCATGCATTAGAATACACGGTTGGGAATTATTCAAGTCTATTGGACATACTTTTAGTAGCATTAAGATCTAGTAGAGGTAGGAAATTGTGCAAAAATAGTCAAAGCTCTGCATGGCTGGGTATATGCAAAATCAAATCAACTTGTTTATTCTCCAAAAAATAGAGCATCTAATCAAAGTTAATGGCCTTATTTTATTTGGAAAACAGTAAATGCTATTACGCATTACTAGTAAGTAAACAACAAAGATTTTAATGATAGTTCTTGAATGCAGTTTCTTAAAAAAATCTGCTTTGCTCTCTTTTTGCAGAATGAGAACAATGCGGTGGCAGCATGTGTCAGTCTTCGGCGTCCAAATCCCGTCTGTATATCAATTGAAAAACCCGGAATGGATGCTGAGCGATCTGACAATGCTGATTCAGCTGAGGACGACCAAGGAATAGTCCACATCCACGCGGGAAATATTCCCGGCATAGCAAAAACCAGTAGTCCAACTTCTGATGCTCTCGATTCAGCTGAGGTAATTCCATTTTTAGTGCCAGTGAGTTGGAGAGACAAGTAGCATTTTTAATACGTATAAGCTTACATAAAGGCAACTGATTTTGGACTTAATTTTCATATTACAAGTCTTGATTATTAATTTGTTGATAGACTTCAAAAGTTTCAAATGCATTCTTTCGTCTTGAACTAGGTCTAGTGCTAAAACTATTTATAGAGCTCCTAGCCTGTTAAAGAGGCTATTTTTTACCACAATGAAGGTCACGACTATTCCTCGGCAAAAATAATTTATTCGTCGTGTGTATCCTCTGGCGAGCTGCACACTCAAGTGTCTGGTGAAATCTTAAATTTGATCCTCGTAAGAAAATGCGATTTTATAGCAAACGCAATCAGCAGGGAACATCCCATTAATTTTCAAACAATGTTTTATATTTTGAGAAAATTGGGATCGTGAATTTTTGATTATTTAACAGTATTATGATGCATCCGCCAAGGCTAAAAGTGGGCATTCGTATGGTAGTATTCGAAAGAGAGCTGTAGACTTAGTGTGCATTAAAGGCCCCAACCCTTTAGTTTCGCCTAATTTGAACTTACGAAGTATCTAGGTATATAAACGGAGATAAGTGCGCAATGATAGTTGCTACATTTTTAAAATGTGTGAGGCCTTCTGATAAACAATAGTGTGCGACCAAGCCAGTAAATGGTTGTTCTAGTAAATGTGAGGCGAGATATTTGAGAAAAAAATTTATTGCGAAATAACAAATTATCTAATGTTTTAGTATTGGATACACAAATCCTCTTAGAAAATACCAAAGGACTATCAACTGAAGTGGTAATTATTTGCCACTATAAACCTGTTTTTTTCAGGTAACTTTCATTTGTAGCATAAGTAAGGCCTTAGTATTGTGGGCATGCACAGTGGCAACCAACGCTGAAATCTACGTGGGCAAATACTAGGAGCTACCTTGTCATTGAAAGATTTTGGCTACTCACATCCTAATTGTGCTGACTTCTTGAAAAGAGAATGTATATTGCAGCAGATCCCAATCCGGACCTGAAAAGCATTACCTTTCCATAGGTGCTTTTTTGGATAGAGTTCATCCAGAGCCCCATAGGGCACACTTTCTTAACCAGAGGTTTAAAGCCATTTCCGGATTTTAAGCAGGTAAATAAACGGTATAATCCTTTAATTGTATTTGTTTTGTTCAAGGGTTTTACTTTAGTCCAAAAGGGTGAGAACAATGTGTTAAAACTCAGGGCAACTATACTTTGCGTGGCTCTTCATCCATAATAATGATAATAGAGCCAACATAAAATAAGGATCTTCATTGTTAAGCAATTGGTCTTGGATGACATTTTTTCATGGTAAAGCGTGGCAACGAACCGACCTACGATAGCTCTTTGGAGCCTCAGCATGGAGCTACAATTCAAACTCGTTCATTTCCAGTTTTTTTACAATTTTTGCATGAAACATCATTCAGTAATAAATTCTCTGGATAGTAACTTATTTTTGGTGAAAGTATGGCAAAAAATGGAAATATTAAGGCCAATTTTAATTCATTTTTTTTAAAAAAACGTGAATCTTATAATGAAACTGTATTTAGGGTATCAGTCAACCATGGGTCTTGGAAACTGCAGATTGCATCAACCATGATGGTAGTTTAAATGGCTTTATAGGCCTTACTCCGTGAACGTCAGCTGCAGAAACACAAGTACAGTGACTCGAATCAGTATCAGCAACATCCGTCGCAATATTGCCGCGAAACTTTGTCTACCGGTAACCGACCCTCCTCACACCATGCTCGACATCCACGAGAGGATATGTTCCAAGCACATGGCCATCATAACTACCGCAATCGCTACGATATGGAGCCTCCGGATGCAGCTTTAGAAACCGTCCATCCTCGATATTACCCTCGTCGCAGCCGATCCGGACGCCACCTCCGGGCTACGCGCTCTATGTCCGACGAGAACGACTGCTTCCAGGGTAGAGAGAAACTGATCCGTCTTCCCTGTTCCACCGAGAGCACTGAATCGGAGCGGCGCCAAAACTCTTTATATCAACCGTTTTTCTCTTCTACGAAGTCTACTCTCGACCTAAGGGCTGAAAAGTCTCATCGAAGGGGCTGCCACGTCTGTCAGTGGCATCGATCCTCCCCCCTGCGCCAGTACACCAACTCAAGAGTTTCTCTTATGCGTAGGAGCAAGTCTCTCGGACGATCGCACAACTTGACACTCATGTCTTCCTCTTCCAATGATGAGGGTATCTCGAAGGCTTACTTCCAGCGTCTTCAGGAACGAGAACAGTCGAAGAATCAGTTCTCCGGAGTGGGAGATGTGACGGGTCAGAGATTTTCGCGAAGGTGGCGCCAGTGTAAGGTTCCCCTCAGTGCTATGGATTGCAGCCCCAACTGGAACCAAAAGGAACTATGCAGGAGTGACAAGTTGAGGGTATACTAATGAATGAATATTTCATTAATTTGTTGTTTTACTTGGCATATATGAAACCATGCTCACATTTGTTAGGCATCTAGAGACTGTCAGCAAATACTTCAGCACTTATTCACGAATGAAGAATCTCTGTAATCATGTCACATATATTTCTACATACCATAACTATTCAAATGTATATTTCATTGAACTCATACTTCCTCTTGGGTTTCCAAAAAACCACTTAGCTGACGCAGATGTAGAGGTTGATTTACAAAAGCTGAGTGCACCCACCCAGCACTTATATACCGCAGTCATTTTCGTCAAAAAAGTTACACGAATTTTCCTCCTTTGAGGTTGGAAAATCGTCCTTTGCAAAGTCGGCTCCGAAGCGCTGGCTGCAAAAGATAACTTCTGTTCCGGAGATTCGTAAGTCTTATTCGTGTCCTCTGTACTACTAATAATCGCATATAACTGAGCGTTTGGTGTTCTGTCGTTAATCAAGATAGCAATGGTTTTATAATTGTCCGAGTTATTAAAAAAGAGCAAAAAAGTAATCCGTTTGATTTCACTGACTTTAATGCGTCATTTCAAGATTCTTTCATTTCATTTTATTAGATTAGGGAGAGAAGGTCTATGGTCGTTCTAAACTTCTTGTAAACATGGAAGTCGGTACACGAAAATGCGTTTTTGGCACCACGTAGACATGTATCAAGTCCGCTTCCCTAGAAGCCAGCAGTTTTCGATAGCTCATTTAGATTTCGTACCTCCAATATGTAATTTACACATTTATTTCGCAATCTAGTGAAAGAACCTAAACATTGTTAATTTTATTATGCTTACCATTCTGCCTCCATTGAGAGTCAGGCGTTTGGGAATCAGCGAGGTATCAACATAGTTATCAGCATTCGCAAAACACAAACCGGTAAAACAAAACGAAGCCCATTTGTACTGCGTTTTGCAGTGACTCCTTCAAAAGTCCGACTGTATTAAGATCATGAATGCATTTTTTCTCACCAACTTATTATCTTAAAACAATAAGTGTATCTTAACTTCAAAAATAAATTTGAAGTTTGATTTAATTTGATTTTGGATACTAACATACTGAAACGGGGGCATACACCGAATTGGCTCCTTTTACGGTTGCGGATTAGCTAAACGTTCTTGTTCTCTGCTTGCATTTTGTGACACTGACTTGCAGCCGTTCGTCATGATGATGGCCTTTTGCGATTTAATCGCTTCCCAATCAGGCCCAAGATATCTTGGCCATCATTAACGTGATTGGTAAGCGCAATTTTTATTGCCTGAAGTCGTGCGTCCCATGCCTAATGATCTAACGTGTACAGGCTAACGGGCATCAATAGCAGTTCTTTCACCCAGCATTTCATATTCTTCATCCGACAGACTTGAGTCGTGGCCATGCGGACTCGGACGACCACTTGCGAAGATGCATGCACTCTAGTGAGCGCCAGCTATTCACCAACTCCCCACACTGTCAACACCGTTTCAGTGGGACCATGGGAGATAGACAACGGCGTGAAAGGTCGTGGAGGGAGGAAGAAGATGAGGGCTGTCTAGGAGACGATAATGCGGCAGTGATGAGCTATCGATTTGACGATCCCGATGACGGACCCTACGACTGGTCAGAGGGTCCTGTCTACCCCCCCTCCTCCCAAAATCGGCCAAAAGGACACTCTGACCTTATTAGCAGAAACTCAAAGACTATGGTGACCTCTGGACGGCGAACCGTCAGCTCTGGTCTCGAAGGCGACTATCGATTGCGAGGTGTGGGGCACAAAAATCCCAAACGAGGTGAGATATCACGCATTGAACTCACTGATCCTTATTGGGTATTTCGCCTCAATAGAGAAATTAGGTGAATTTCTGGAAGACATTTGAAATTTTAGGCCTCTCCCTTTTTTGCTGTGAAATAAGTGCGAATAGAATGCGTGTGAAATTAACATCTCAGTTGAATTTACCAAACCACACACACACGGTATTGAACTACGAGAAGAAGGAAAGTTATGGGGAATTTCTCAATTTTTTGTTAAGTAAGCTAGCATGCGAAATAAGTGACGATATAATTCTCCCAACTCTTTGCTGCTAATGTGTTTCATGACTAACTCTGCATTTTGTTGAGAAATTAGGTGCTCTTTACAGGTTTTAGTTTTGATATAAAGGAATTCGGGGGTATGATAGTAAAGGCTGTCCTGATAACCACATGTACACTTGGTTATTAGCAATGATTACGCCCAAGTTAATAGATAGCTTAGCCCATCCGCCGTAGTATTATATTCGTCCCTTCATTATTCGGGATACAAGATTGTGACAGATTTCCTAAAAGCTATTTGTCTCAATATTGTTAAATTATTAATGCTAATATCTTATTACAATCTTAAATTAAGTCAGGAGATGGAAAATTTCGTTAGAAGAAAAGTCTAAACTAGCTCTGCGGGTTGTGAATGACCGTACGTTTGAGCGTTCTTACATCCAATACCCAAAGTGTTATCTCTATGATCACTATTGTTTATATACTTAATGTCCAAAAAAAGATGATGTGATAACGCCTAAATGACTACATCTGCGCTTAGATTTTGTCTAACGCCACCCATACGGTCGTAAATGTAACTAGAATAAGTTACATTTTCGTTGAAGAGTGCACGAACATTTTTGGAGCTTATTTGAGCAATTTAAATAAACATTGCACGTTAGCTTGTATAGTCTTTGTAAAGCTTACATAAATAAGGGAGCAATGGTTTGCCTTGAGTATTATTTACAGTCTAGACGGCGAGTCCAGACCCCTTATCACCTTATTTTGAAAATAACCAAAGAAATTGAAGGAAAGCTGTACGCTCACAAATTAGATGCACTTTCAAACAAACTTCTGTAAATACATTTGCCCATATTTATCTGTTCTAATGTTTTATCGCTCGCTTTTAAATTTGCAATAGAGAGCGCACGTTTCATCATTAGTTGTTGCATTAATCAGCCACATTCATCAGAAAAGGTAATCCGCATTTGGAAGTAAACATCTCATTGAATGGGTTCCCACACGTCTGTCAGTTGCTAAGGCATCCACCAAATGCGCACCATCACGGTGCTTAAGGTTGACATGATTCAAGCCACAGTCAACTGAAGTCTGTGTATTCCTTATCCACGCAAAAGTATCAGCTTACATTCTCTAGCTTCCGTACATCAACCTCCAAGTTCTTTAATAATCTTTTTTTTTTCAAATAAGAATGCAGAGCGTTTAATATACATTTGGCCAGAACGGCCATTTCGAACCATCTAATGTCCTTTAAGGCACTTGTGCTCTTAGTACACCTTTTACAGCCAATAGCAAGTATAAGACGAAATTTTATGCATCGCGCACATGTAACCATGTTTCGTCGTCGTTGTTATTACAAGATGATAGCGCTTTTGAAACCGCAAAAGTAGCCGACATTTAGGATGGATGGAACCATCACCTTCACAATTTTCAAAATGAATATTACAATGTAGGAAAAAATTTTTGCGACTTTTGTACCTTGAGCTGGTCTATAGTTAAGGGTGAAATCTTTGAACCTTTCGGACTTCGGAGCCTAAAACCTCTGCATGAGGGCTCTGCAAATTAGTGCAATCAAAGATGTTAACAAGTTTGTATAGGTACTGGCACACTAATTTAGATAGACGCTCAGTGTACAAAGAGTATTTCACGAAACCACTTCCTACTTGCTCGGTTTTTGAAATTGTACTCTCGTGTAAAAGGAGCTAAGCATGACCTTGTTTCCTCAAATTGTCGTATTTGGGTAGAGGTATCACCTACTAGCGCTTTGAGTTTTATATTTTTATGTTCAGCTGTAGATTTGTTTAGTATGATTAAGTGAATGGGCAAATGTATGTTACGAAAAAGAAAATGCTTGAATTATAAGGGTTGTCATAGAGACCCGTTTTCATGGATATTTGATGAAAGCTATCCCCAAAAAAGTTCATAAGAGGAATATTACGAGAAAGGATTTACTATAGTGTCTAGAAGCTTGATGCTATAAACGCGAAAGGTAAACAAATGGAATGTGAAAGACAATTTGGCTGGGCAACTGCATGTTTGACTAACACAACAGGGCCCGGAAGGCGTTTCCAGTTGGAGGTGCGCAACCAGACGCCGGATCGAAGACCTTTGAGTTCGCCTTCACCCAGGCCGACAGGCGCGGGTGACGACTGTGGATTTTTCGTCTCCCTCTATGACTACGATCCAGCTACAATGTCACCAAATCCCGGGGCTGTCGATGATGAACTGCCCTTCAGGGAGGGCGATATTATCAAGGTATAGATTTGAAATCCTTCTCCACTTTATCCACACACCCAGAGCCTTTAATGGACTCAGTTATTTTATTTTAACACAGTGACGTTTTGCAAGTTTTGATTCAATTGGCTGTTTAGGCTACGCCAACCGGGCGAACCAGTCATTGTATTTTAAAATGTTTTCTCACCAGCTTGTCTGGCCAGAAGTTCACCGTTCACATCGAATTAGAAAAAAAAAACTTTATTTAAATAACAGCTTTGGCTGGTTGCTACACAATTTATTGGTAGGCTGTAAATGAAGTATACTTTTAACTCTAACACAGCCTATTTCACCCCTTAGTCCTTCCAATTTCAAAAGCGCAAAGTGAATTTCTAATCTATTCAGTGTATAAGGCGGATAATCCAATGTTTTAAATTTCTACTACATGAGCAAAAATAAGCCTTTGGACGTGGTGATTGGTAAAGTTGACACTACACACAAATTTTGGTTGACTCGTCTATTCTAATCACGTCCTCCTTGATTGGTTTCATTAAATTTCTAAGATATCAGTGGTTTGCACTCATAAATGACCCTATGAACGCAGAATATGGCCTCGAAGCACTGGTTTCAGAGCTGATTCACAAACTTGTTTACCAAGCAGTATATCACCTGGTCACACATTACTTGTCGAAAAGCATTTCCACCTGTTATCTGTCAGTACGAGGTCTTTGCTCTTCGTACGACAAAGGCAATTTAACTTATCTTTGTTAGTTTGCGGCATCATTGGCACTTTTATCCTTTGCTATAATTTACAAAATTTTTAAACAAGGGCTTTGGACAAAATCGGAGGCAGTTTTTTAAGTGAATTCAAAGGTGCCTATTTATAGTCTTGAATTTATCACATATTATTCCGAAGAAGGGCTAGGATACCTTCTAATAATATTTTTAATGACTATGATGATGTAGTTGTCGTATTTGATGAGCCTCTGGAAACAATACAAGTGATACTTACTAAACCTTACATGAATTTCATTATACAAATGTATTTTTCAATTCCAAGTTATTGATATTTTGAAATTACCCATTCTTTAAAATGTGGTATCATTAATTTAGATTTGTAGGCTTTTTGCTTGGTGTAAAAGATAAAGATTCTGTCCAATGCTAATCACGTATTTAAGAGTCTGATGGTGTCCGTTTTGGGACTTTGTTACCCCACACAAATGCAAGCATAAATAATCTAAATAACACTTCGATTTTCACGAAAAATGATCCCTTTAAAGCCGGTGGGTCATCGAAATGAACAATAACGGAGTAATGCCTGTAAATTAGTATAAACTTAATGTTTAACGGTGGATCTGAATTTAAAATACAAATTTGCCTTTCTGGGCCAGGATACTTCGCCTCTTTCCATTCTTACTTCAGAAGTAAACTTTAATTGAAACTAATTATTTTATCAAATCAAGAACCTAAACATTGTAAAGGTCCACTATCGAAAGAATGTGTTTCACGATGCGAAAACTTTGCAAAGGTGTACGGAGACCGTGATGAGGACGGCTTCTACTTCGGCGAGTGCAACGGACGAAAGGGCTTCGTGCCGTCCAACATGGTATGCGAGGCGAGTGCCGACGAGGTGACTGACTTCCTTAGGCGGCGTGGCGGACACCACGGCCGAAATTGCACCACCACCTCCACTGGCCTGCCCCCCGGCCAAATGACCAAGCCGCATCGCACAGCTGCGCAGCACACTGGACCATCTGAAAGATCCGCTGGTCATGTGAGTCTGGACACAGTAAAAGTGTGCATTTGAAGAGGGCGCAGATTCTTCTTTGCAGAGCGGCAAAGGAGCCCAATTCCTTCCATTGTGGCTCAGTTGGTTTTAGGGCTGCCCACACAATTGATTGATAACTCACTCATGCTTTAGAAGTTTTATTATTAAGTGGGCAATACAAATGGCTCGAGTTTTGTTCTACACAAATTAATTTTTCACTAACATCGGTCTAACGATAACAGGATGTAAGTTCACTGTGCTTTGAAGAGAAAAACTAGACCAGACGCCAAGGGATTCAAATTATGCCTGAGGGATCTTTCAAAGTTGCCTTTCGGTTTGTTGTAACAACGTATCGCGGAAGATTGGTTCTTCTTGTAATTTAGCTATTTCGTCTCTGGTGGTTCTACTTGTAGCCCTTGGCATAAATTCCGCAATTTTAATCTGTCGTTCTAGACTAATGCATAAATTTACTTAAAAAGGACTTTATAAAATGTAGTAATGGTTGATAAAGACGAGTATTAGCGGTTTAGTGATGACTAGACATGTTTCACCAGGCATGCCTGATTTGATTCTGTTGAATTTACTGACTTGCCGTATAAAAGAGCATGCAAATGACTGTTATTGTTGTAAAACAATGCAAACGATTATCAAGTCCCTTATTTCATTAATATTCGGGGTTCAGTTGGTACCAGTTGCTGTCGTCACAAAAAAATGCATTTGAGCTGCCGCGGGTTCGAAGGAGGTTTCAGAACTATATTTTTTTCTATTTTCAGTTGACAAGGTCTGATCTATTGTTCAGACAAGATATTTGTGAAAATGAAAACAATGCACTGCTCGGATTATTCCTGAGATCTTTATGTCAAGAGTAGCTATTGATTCTTGACAAGCTTAGTCCAGCACCAAATTCCCATCCCACTCAAAATCATGAATTCAAGACCTTCGAAAAAGGAAGTATAGAGGAAGTGACGATTTGAAGTGGAAAAACTCTAGCTTCTTAGCATGGCCTCGGTCCATTTGTCCTCAAATGTGCTTTGTTCGTAAATGCCTTAAAACAAATAATGATTTATCAGCTCTCTTTAGCTGAAATTTTTGTGATAGCTTCGAAACCAACCTATTCTTGCTTATTGTCGTCAGTCAAGTCGTGGATTTTGAAATTAGGACTTGTATACCATTACCTTTTCCAATTACATGTAGGATTAGCGCTACTTGTACGAGGAATATACGACACTGGCATTTTGCAAGTGGTTTCTGCTTAGTAATGATCAGTCTCATTGAATGTCCACCTCCTGTAATCTATTGATAATGTCATTTAACGAGCCTATTCCTTAAGATGTTATGGAATATCTGATGCTGGAAGCGGCATTAATTATTAAGACAGATAGACCTTGAGACTGTTAGCATAGGCGGCATGGGCAGTTCCATGCCATTAGCATGGCGACTGAGCAGTTCAGCAAGGTGCATATTGTTATAAACGGAGTTGCTACTGTTATAAAACGGGTGCCAACTTTTATGAACTGGAGCCTCTATGCTCAAGTCGTCTGGATCCTGTCGGCTCCAAAAACCGAGGAAATTAATGGATCAAGGCTTCAGGACAGATGTCTATCGATGACGCGGGTGAGGCAACACAGAGGTGTGGAGTGCGGATACTGTCCCAGCCCAGTCGCTGACTTGTGGAGACTGCCAGGGGCTGAGCCGGTGACTGCGTCGGGGTCTGGGTCACTCGATGGCAATGGATTGACCTTGGACTTAGAGTGACTATTACCACACTTAAAGTAGTCTCAGCGAATCAGAAGCTAATGGGCAAGGATGCGATATCCAGAATACCTGAAAAGTATCTACAAGTATGAAAAGTTCTGTAAAATTGAAAATGAATGTTTTCCTGGGTTCGTAGACATCACCAATAGGTATTTAAAATAAACGCTACAATATTATTAATTAATCTACCCTGCTTGAACGTAAACTCTGGCATCTTAAGTACTTACGCCTAATCATATATCAATCTTTCCGTGACTGGGGCAGTTTAACACAGTTTCTAAATCGAAATTTCAATGCAAATGGAGAACTTTCTAATTGCCAATTCTGGTGGTGTATCTCGTCGATTGTGGTGACGGTTACCTGTCACAGCCCCCATTTACAAGCTGTAGTGAAGGGATCTGCTTTACTGCGAGCACGTTCCATACGCCAATTGCTTTTCCCATTAAAGCGAAACCCGTTTTGTAAAACACAGTATAAATGCTGACTTCATCCTTTCGGCTTAATTAACATCTTGATGAATTTTAGCCCCTTGTTTATTACATAGGGATGTATCAAAACTCCGAATTCCCCTCATTGCTCAGATTTTCTAACTATTACTGTAGGACGCTTGTTAAGGCCGATTTTAACCCTTTCAATCTAGGTCGCGTTTTGTTGCCCTCCATTGGTGTCAAGGAATAGACTTGATGCAAATCTCCGCATATTCAGCTATTAACAGCAAGTTTGTTATGAAAGGGGTAAAAAGGCGGAAATAAAATTTGTGAACGTGGTAATTCCAGCTCAAACTTGTATCACCACACAGATGCTATTTGCGTTATCAAAGCATTTACTCCATTTAGATGGAACAGAACTTTGCGTACTACCACTACCCCCAACACAGTGAACGGGCGGGTCGTGGCCGTCCAATACGTGAGAAGAGTCGACGGACGCGACTGCAGAGGAGCGCCTGTGCGGAGGAGAAGCAGATCACCGGAGGGGGAGCAGAAACAGTTGGGCGAAAACGCGGCGAGAGTCAGAAACCACTGCATTGTATCATGGAGGCCCTCTACGACTATGATCCTCACATCTACAGCCCAAATGTCGATGTGGAGGTTTGCCCTTAGTTATTTTAAGTAGAACAGACAAAGCTGTCTGCGCTCGTTTAAACACTTATTTCCTAGTTTGTATAAGAAACGACCTTTTATGACATTTTGTCGATGTCCAGCAGTGATAAGTGCTTGTTTGTTAATTAAAAATGTTGGATTCAGTTTTCCTACAAAAATATTTATGTCAGTTATGAAGCATATTTGGCTAGCTCCGCATGAAAGAATTTGTCGTCCCAAGATCCCAAGGAAATCACTCTGCCATGCGTTGATAAAAACTAATTATATTAGTAGAATTACTTAAAATCTTAATGAACCAATTTTCGCCTTGCGTTTTTTTAAACAATGTTCATTGTCTACTGATTAACGTAGTGACATTTTGAGTGGGAAGGATTTTCTCATGGTAGAAAAAACGTAATGGAACACATGCACATTCCGGAGATCTTTTTATAGCAACGTAAGAAATGCTGGAAAAGATGGCAAATCATAAGTAGGCTCAATTTCATTTGTTTCATCACACGAAATTGTTGAAACCCCTTTTATTTGTAGTGCTTTGATTGTTTAACTCCGTTTGACTATGCGGGCACTTAAGTCTTCACAGATTGTACTCTCGCTCTGGAGCATGGCCTCTGGGCCTTGCCAGTAGCCTCAGCTTTTTCGTGTTTTATATCTTCCCTCATAGTACTATGACTTCTTACGACTTCAGAAAAGACTCCGGGCTCTACATATTTACTCGTTTCGAGTAGATTTATTCCAAAGAAGCAGAAATAAAAGATATTACCCAAAAATACCTAAAACGAAGGATCAAAATGAAATTAAACTCAAAGAGAGGATTTTTGGAAGGTTATTGGATGCGCCTTGTAAAATCGTTGGAATAACAACTGAGAAATAAAGTCCGGTTCATTTTATGAGTGGATTTAAATACGTCGTTGTTTTTTTATGAAGTTATGGAGAAAAAACGTTTTTGCCTGAAATAAAAACATCCATCTCAAGGCTCAACCTTTGAAATGTGTCCATTTAACGGAGATGGAATTTAAAATTGGTATCGCAAGGACTGGACTTGGTATATCATTATAATTTAGGTATGGACATTACTTCTGGTTGTTTCCAACGGGATCTGAGAGAAAACAGTCACTTTGTTCTATGGTGCACAGTTTGTTCATTAATCCCGTGGTTACTTGGATTTTACGTATTTAATCAACCTGTTTGTTTAAAAAATGCCGTCTTATTATCCGAATAAATCAAGGATAAGAAAAGGTAGATAGTAAAATAAACAAAAATAAGAGAAAGTACAAAGTGAGAAAAAATTGGCCGCATAGTAATTTTATGCGGAGGGAATTGGCTGGGATGTATTGTTTTAAATGAAGGGAATTCTCAGGATTAAAATCGCTTGTCGGAACCAAATTTTTCCAAGCAAATGCTGGCATTATGCTGGTTCAATGAGGGTGAGGCGTTTTACTAACAATGTAAAAACCAAAGTGGGGATGCCTACTCCTTAAGAGAGTTGGACCTTACATACCTAGTGTTTTGACTTGTACAAATTTAAATTTACAAAGTCCAACATGTCGACTTATTTAGCGTAATTAGTAGGAGCGTTGGATTTTATGATATCAAGCAGCTACATTTGATTTCCCAAATGAACTGGCGAATATCATTTCACTTTTGTCTGAATAGACTGAGCTAAAGTTTCGTGCTGGAGACCGAATCCGCATCCTCAGTGAGATGGATGACGATGGGTTCTACGTGGGACGGTTGGAGTCGTCGGGTCGATGTGGTCTGGTGCCTTCTAACTTCCTGCGCGAACTGCCACGCGTCGCTGCTGAGGGAAACACCAGCCTAATCAATAGTGGTGCCAGTGACGGAGGCGACGTCTACGATTCAAGACCCAAAATGGTTTATGGGGTGTCCGGTAGTCGACCTACTCATGGATCGAAGCCGTCCCACACTCGGGGCGCCAATGGGAACCGGTCAATGTTACGCTCCAGTGATGACCTTGGCCCTGTTTCCAGGCGACGTAGGTCCTCTGGTAGAACAAGAGAGGTAAACGAGGTATTAAAATTACAATTGAATATCAAAGACGGTTTCATTTTCAAGCAGTTACCATCATGACTATATGGGGACGCGTATTTTGTACCAGCTTTCGATATTGGTGGGTAATTTATGTTGACTTTGTGAACTTGACGGATTAAAAACCATATTTTTATTTAAGGGGAAGGGTACCAAAATGAAAGCAAGGTTCCTTTGCAATAAAGGAATATTTGCTACAACACTGCTTTTTTTTTCTAACTTAGAAACTTTAATATCTTTACCAAGTTGCAAAACGTTGCATTTGAATCGGTATCGATAGCTATTGTTCATTTTTACTTCGAAATAATAAGAAAGCAAGCAACCCTCTAAATGTTGTGTTTTTTATATACCACCCTTCACTACTACTCCGAGAGGCTTTGTCATATATTCTCTTCTTTTGCCTATGAAAATTGCAGTTTGGTATCGGCATTGTCTGGACTGAAGATGTGTCGCGGATACATCATCAAGGTCTAACTTGCAAGAATAAACTAAGAACTTATTGAGACAGATGTTGCTAAATCAAAAACCGTTTTTTTTAAAAATGAGTAACTGAGTAGAATTGGCTTAATGTTTCTTTTTCTTACTCAACAGAAAATGTCGAAACAACTCTCCCGAGGTCGTGTTAAGGCCGATAATCTTGAAGATGCAGAAGAGGAGGAAGATTCAATGATTACCTCCACAGTGCCTCCTCCGAATCCTTCCAACTGGCCGGATAGTCCTGAGGTATCGGTGAAATTACACTCCGTTGTTCCCCTCTCTACCACCGCCGCTGCCACCACCACCGTCACTCCCACCCCAGAGCCACCGACGCTGATAGATCCTGATGTAAATCGCAATTTAGTGAGTAGTGGTGGTGATGCAGAGCTATCAAAGGACTCTCCCGATTCCGATGGACAGGGTGGTGTCATTTACATGGACATTAACTCCAAGAAGCACAGCAAGGTAGGCAATATTAAAGTCATCTCCTTTTCTACCAAACTCGCCAGTCTTTCAGCCACCATGGGAGGTCGAATTTGAGGAGATTGGAAGGATTCGTGTATTGTTACACCTAATTAAAATGAATTTCTGTCTGATGTTTAGTCTTCATCATGCTTTAATTGCAGGTTTCAATGCTCCACTCACTGTTTTTATGGATTAGCCATAAATACCATCACCGCAGTCGCAATCTTCACATAGGTAACACTTTCGATTCCAGCAGTAGTGGTGCCTTCCCCTAGATTCCTAAGAGGTTTACCTGTCATAGCATTGGTTAAGTTTGTATTGAAGGAATTTAATTAAATGATGTTGGATTATGGTCTACAGCTAACGTATTTAATGCGCTATCATTTTTCGTATGAGCATCCTTTGGAAAGCAAACTCCCTTTGACTTTGTATGATATGCAGCTTTCTCGACCGTTTAATTATGACTGCGCTCTTCTGTACACTTCATCACCATTTTGATACTGCTCAGCTCACTAATCTTTCTTATTAATCTCTCATAACACGAAAAAGTTGTGGACTATCGACAATGGTGTAACTTCATCACTTTTTATGATGTAGGACTTAATATTAGGCCATTTTTATTCAGCTGAACTTGACATCTTGAATTCTTCTGTTCTGCTCCTGCGGTCATTTACTATCAGCTCCCTCATCCCCTGACATTCTTCGGGTGTTGATTGATTAATTAGCTCTGATACTCAAATCTGCTACACTGTCCATCATCGTCTTATTAATTACTGGTGCATGTGTCCGTCTACCGAACCATTGATATCTGCCCTCATAGTATTGGCGATGTGGGGAAGAGAGGCCCATGCTCATTGAGTTGGCTCTGCCAGTAAGTGTGGCTGCCGTCGTTGATGTGTGATTAATTCGGTGTGAGTGACACAGGGAATACAATTGAAAATGAAAATTCACCCATTAGATTCGCTGGCTTTTTGTACACTTTTCGATGTAGAATATGTGGTACACTAGTGTCTCAATAATAAACCATTTTGGTATTTGCAGTAAAAATGCCCAGTTTGAAATTACATCGAATTAACGAATCCTTTGGTCTGAAAGTAACTGCTAGTTTACTGCATCGTCAGTAGTTTTTATGACCAACACCTACAAACACATAGAATTAAATCATTGAAAGTAGTTTGGTGTTGCTTCTATTATACTTTTTGGTTTTTTTACACCAGAACCGGAAATCAACGCTATCGAGAAATTCTAGCAATGAACAGAGCCAAGACCATGGTCCTGGAGACTCACAGGGCAGGCGAAGGTCCGTTTTTAGAAGCCCATTCAGAAAGATCCCCCATGCCATTGAATAGCCCAATCCACCCTCTCTTCCTTTATTTGATATTTAACTTGCCCATTTACCAACCTGACTCCACACTGTACACAGCTTGTGCATCGAGGAATGCTCCTCCTCTCCCCATCTCCACGTATACCACTCGGTATGTATTTTCATGTAAGACTTGATTGTTATATGAGTCCCTCCTGTACTTTCCCCATATGCATTATATCAATACTTCGATGTGCAACTACTTATTTGCCTAATTGCAAAGGTCAATGGTGTGCAGACTTGGTAGATCATGGCTGTGTCATGCTGAAAGGCAGTTTATTCTAGTTTGTCACCAAATGCACATTTTAAACGTGTTTTTCCTCAATTAATGGTTGTACCACATGTTCCCTTTCTGCCTTAAGGTGAGTCCTAAAAAACTGATCCCAATTTAATTCCACATTTACTATAATTACTAAAATGTATATTTTCGAGCCTGTTTAACATGTCTTTGTGGGATGGTATAAGGCAAAGGATGCCACTTATTTTTAATTCCTAATTAGTAATTCTCTTGCTTATTTAAAGCGTCTCAAATCCCGTTCCAAGCTGTGAATAATGCAAAAAACTTAGGCTGGAGAACTATTTCGAATGATTGTTTTCCAGAAGAACAAGTCTATCGTACTTTTTGAATTCATGAGAGAGGCATAAGCATTTTTATACTCCATTAAAAGCAAGAGAGAAAGAGGACTAAAGGCGGTGAATTGCGTGCTTTAAAAGGCATCCTGTAGCAAAGATACGAGATTAAGCGAAGTAATTGCTGTGTCCTCCCGACCTTTTGGCCAAATTCTTGATTACAAATACTATTTGTGCGAAGTCATGAATGCATAACTGCGAAACTCTGACCTCGGGATTCCTTGTCGTAAATGCATAAAAGGCAACTATTGCATGGATCCAAGGTGGCATCACCTGAACACCTACTGTGTGTACCGATTTGTAAAAACTCTTACTGGATAAATTTATGACCGAATTTATTTCTCAATAACTGTAAAGACACATTTAACTACTGTGGCAGAAAGTATTATGGAATGCAATTTTGTGGGGCAACAGGCAATGCCTGCTGCACGTTTAATATTCCCGAGTACTTCATATCCGGAAATGTACCACTTCTAGGATATGAAGTTGATTTATGCTAAATCAAATACATGGCACCTTAATTCATCCAAGAGTTTACTTAGCGTTAACTCGTTCAGTTTATTCTGCCAGTGTCAAACATTGAAATTACTTAAATAATATACATTAATATTGTGCTCAGAGGATTCTTTCAAAATGTGCTCCTCAAAAAGTCGTTTTTAAGTTAACTGACGTATTGTACATAAAAGCATCCTGTTTGGTACTTTCGAAATGTAACTAAAGTCCAACAAATTTTGGAGAATTCCATAATGATATAAAACAATAAAACTTGGGATATAATGTGCTTACAACCAATTTTACATTTAGTTTTACCGCAACGGACCTAGGGAAACCCAGTTGGCAAACATTTTAGTGTCCTTGGTGGCCATTGTTTGAAGCAGTCAACAGCATATTTTCCTTTTGATTAAAACACCCCATTTTTGATCAAAACATCACATCTTTATTGTCATTCTACCTATGGTGACTAAGGTAAAGTCTAACTGAATACGTAATGAAATCTTTATCGTGCCTTGACATTATATTCCTACCCATAATATTTCAGCCCTCCTTCAAGTGAATAATAGATATTCCAAATTTACATGCCCTCCATCTTTTGCAGAGGTGTCTTAAGTGTTACCGTAGCAGCAGCATTAGGTGAATCTGGTCCAAGGAAACAGAAGTTTTAGTATGATTGGGTAAATTTATGGAAGAAAGCCAGCTTAAAATGCATTGTAATTATCCAAAAGCCAGAAGCTATCTACGGAGGCAAAAAATAGTTTTGCAACGGTACTAAAATGTTGCGTATGAATGAGAACTCAACATTAGGTCCACAGGGCCACTCCATATTATGTATCTTATTAACTAGTTTTGGTTTCAAACAAAATCTCTTGTCAACTGAGCGGATTTAACAAATTTATTAAAATCTGGTAGACTCATTGCCCTCAACAGAGGCATGTCTCCTCACATTGAGAGAAAATGCGTGATACTCGCTCCTGATTCATGGATAATTGAAAATACAATATCGCTTGATGCTGATCTTGGTAGTAACCACAGCGCGCACCCTGGATGTTGACTACAAGAAGAGAGGAGGCGTGTTAAAAAACGATGCTCATTTAAACCACACGGGCTTCTTTCTGGCACATATTATCATCCCCGTCACTTACGAAACACTCCTGAGCATGGTTTCAGACTGGCAGGGGATATTGATTATCCAGAGGTGGTTCAACAGCCACGATAGCATAGGATTTAATAGGAACTTGTTTTAAAAATACTGAGGCCTCACCTTTACAAAGGTAATTTCTAGAGCACGCATTTTTCTAATGAGTCGCCACCAATATGTACGAAGATGGAATGTGGAAATGCATATAGCCTGGACTAGGGGTGCAATCAGATGCTAAGTCCACGAAGAGCTATTCTGGACTTAAAATAGTGTAATAGGGCTTCACTTAAAATTCATGACAGGACGGTGTGGCATCTTGGTCCGTTAAGATGAACATTACTATGCATTTTCTGCTTTCAAAGCCTGGAGTTGTGCTTAATTGTGAATAGAATGGTGTAGTACGTTGATAATTTGCCAATTGGTTTTAATAAAGAGTGACTTAGGGACTCTGCTATTATGCCTTCTCTAAGTAAAGTGACCTCGGAACCTTGTCAACTGCCTAAAACTTGTGAGCCAAACATTTTTTCACAAAGAGCTCAGGAAACCGTAAGATAATTACAAAATAAATGACTGATGCAAAAAACGATCTGTCAAATTTTTTTCAGTTTTACACTTTTAAGGACTCTAATGTTTTTGTTTATACTACTCACACATTATTCCATATAATTAACCCATTTTTAACGCATCTTTTGAACCGTTTTGGATGGACGACCCACCTGAGCCGCAGCTTCTAAAGGAGGCTGATAACCTTAAAAGAAGACTTGAAGAGGAAAAAACAAAATTAAATGATGGTGAAAGTAACAGTTACTGTTGAAATAATTTTTAGTTACTTTCATGAGTGAGCATTTTGATATCATTCCAGCCGTAAACATCAAAGTGCGGCGTGTTTTAAAAGGTCACCAAGGCAAAGTACTTAGCCTTGCCTGGTCCTTAGACAAACGTCATGTTGTCAGTTCATCTCAGGTAATTTGTATTTTACTCCTGACTCCCTAGGATGGCAAACTTTTTGTCTGGGATGCATTTACGCCGTCGAAGGTATTACGATACTTAAAAGTGATTTTAGGAACTTTGCATATCAATGCCCACAACGTGGGTCATGGCATGTTCCTTCAGTCCTTCTAATAGCTTTGTAGCTTGCGGGTAGGATAGTACACCTCATGTAATTTTATCGTTCAGAGGTCTAGATAACAAATGCACAATATACCCGTTATTGTCTGAGGAAGATCCCACTCTTAAAAAGAGGCTCGTCGCTACGCACAGCTCCTATCTTTCTTGTTGTTTATTCAATTTGTCTGATCATCAATTGTTGACTGGAAGTGGCGATAGCTCCTGCATTCTGTGGGACGTCGAATCGGCACAAATGATTCAGAGTTTCCATGGTCACTCGGGTGATGTTATGTGCATCGATGGGTCGCCTTCAGAGTGTGGAAAGGTCTTTATTTCTGGAGTGAGTGCAAATTTTGGATACGGGTTTTCATAAAAATACTCACTTGTTGCCTTTCATGGATTTTGGAAATGATTTCAGAGTTGTGACCGTTGTGCCAACGTCTGGGACATGCGCAGTGGCCAGTGTGTCCAGGTTTTTCAGGGCCATGAATCAGATATTAATTCTGTTAGATTCTTTCCAAGTGGGGATGCCTTTGCAACTGCTTCTGATGATGCAACTATCCGGTTATTTGATCTTCGGACGGACCGTGAGCTCTGTGTTTACAAGAAAGACAGCGTCATTTTCGGGTGTAACGCAGTTGACTTTTCATTGAGTGGTACGATTCATCCACTAAAGCCGTTAACCATATAAGTTAAGCTATTCAGACGATTGCTTGTTAAAAGACCATTTCTAGACCTGGTAATAGAATTTACGATGATGCACTAGATAACAGTATCAATAGCAAATGAACAATGCTACTTTTGATTTAATGTCAGCAGGATGTACATTTGCCAATTTTTCATGACCCTAGGTCGACTGATATTCGGCGGCTACAACGACCATTCTCTCAATGTTTGGGATGCTTTAAAAGTAAGAAGGGTCTCCATCCTCTACGGTCACGAAAATCGTGTTTCGTCACTTCGTACTAGCCCTGATGGCAATGCTATCTGCACTGGAAGCTGGGACAGCACGTTGCGCGTGAGTCCCCCAGTCGTAATCCTTACGAGCGGGATTCTTAAGGCATGGACTGGTAATGTAATCACTTCAAAATTTAACACTTTTTGACACCTGGTTTAGTAGGTGCTGGGAAAAAGCACCAATGGGCGATTTGCCATCAGAGCCCCGGGATAAATATTCTCTACGTTTTGTGCTAACTGTTCATGAAAATGTCCGTAACACGTGTCTACGGTAATTCACATTGGGAAGTGCGCCCACAGGGCCGAGTGACTAAAATCCTTCTGACGAACGAACAAAACCCTAAGTTTGCGGAGAGCATGATTGTGAGACGTCACCGCTGAGCACTACAAAGATTTTTGCTTTTTACAGATCTGGGCATAAAGTACTGCAGGGAAGCCATCCCAAGGACGTGCCTACGACAATCCGCAAATTTCTTCATTAACTGGCATATAAATACACTTCAAGCCCCTCGTCTCGTAACTGACAGATGCTGAGCTAATAAATAAAAACCAAACTACTGATTCCTTTCTTCAATAAATAATCCATTACGTTGAGAACCTAAGGTCCACATTCCATTCCAAACATCCTAACAAAAATCCTAGGAGTAGAAGCCTCTGAAGTAGTTTAGGAACACATGAATGCACAGATAGATGAAGACACAAACCCACAGAAGACTTTGTTAATTCATGAAAATAGGACGCGCATGAGGCAAGTGAGGCTACTTTCCCCATACACACGTTTGAGTGGACATAGCAAGGGATAGGAAAAAAGGATGCAAGAGAGGATATTATGGGAGTACAGCGCAAAGTCCAACCAAAAACGGGAGGCAGAGGACCGTAGAATGTACAAGGATAGTCTTTTGGCCTCAAGAGTGTACACGAAGATCTTCACAAAGGGCATGATAGGAGAGAGAGGGGGCAGATAGAGGTGGACTAAATGAGAAGTCGATCCTCTTGAACGAAACAGAAGTCAGCCCAGAGTGCGGTGGATGGATTGGATGGTGGGTTGATCAACACGCACGCGTGCACATGAGACCAGAAATTGAGAAGTAACGATGCAGTTGAGTGATGTACAAACGCAGTAGTAACAGCAGTACACACAACTCCTTAAAAGGTGGGAGAGAAGGGATTTATTTTTGCTCTGTTATGTTTGTTCTCGTTGCTGTGGAAATGAGTGAAAATCATCTGCGAGTGTGAGGGGGAGCTTCGAATGAGGAGACGAAAGAGAAGGACTGAAATGACTCAACACCCCGCACAAGCATGCAAACATCAGCGGCATTCCCACACTCGAATCGTCTGGTCAACACTACCCGTAATGAGGAAGGGAGCCGTTCGATGAATATCTGCAACAAAAAATAAAGGAGCCAATAAGAAGATGAGCCTCGCCCGTCTCCAGTTAGACCTACCCAGCGTGGTGACAAAGTGTGAATGTGCGTCGAGAGTCTTGTGGCAACGACGATTCCTCAAGTCCCACACGCGAACCGTCTTGTCGTCAGATGCGGAGAGCAAGTATCTGCTGTGCGGATGGAAGACCAACTGACGCACCCAGTTGTCGTGCCCAGTCTTTGGGACAAAAAACAAGCATCAGTTGTGTGACTTCAGCGAGAAAAGAGGGGCGCCACTGCATCGATCTCGACCTTGTGTGCATCTATACCTGTGTGTGAGCGCACTCCGCCAATCTTATGCGTGCTACGATGCCAAGGTCATTTGCATAGACCACGCGCTGCATGTAAACCAACGTGAGTCGCGATTTTTCATGCTAACTGTACACGTACAGCATCACCCAGGCCCTGTCTACAAACATAGAGGAAGTAACAAATCACTACATGGCATGCCTTTGGGTAGTATACTTAACTAGCATCTATCCCAGCATTTCATCTAGAAGACTCTGGGTGTCATTGGGGATACATCACCGCTTTCTGAAGCACAAATTAACACACAATTCTTTGCATAATTTCACGAACTCGAAATAATTAAAAACAGGTGCCGTCATCGAATGATTATTAATGAGCGATTTCGAAAAGTAGTAGATGAAAAAGCCGAGGATAAGCTAAATAAAGAAGAGCTACAGTGGAAAAATTCGATAGGGTAACAAAGAAAACTAAGAATCATAAAGGAAATGGAAGTTAAAGTAGTCGAGAGATTGAATGTTTTCGAAGCATGGCGGCAAAACACTACAATGCATATTACATTATACAAAATCACGAGTCACGTTTGATGATCCAAAAATAAAGGTGGGCCAATACATCTGGGAGGCAACAATTGAACAAATTAGCAGTTCTTCAACACCCGCAAACTGTGAATAAAAAGGTTGAAGTGAATGTGCAATTTTCCAATAAAAGGAACACACCAGTGTGAAGAGGCAAGTGGCAGCCCTAACGTCCCAGATGCAGATTTGCCTGTCGCGAGCCCCAGAGGCCAAGATGATAGGAGCATCTTCAGATGTAGTGCCACCAATTGAGACAACATCACCACCATTCACCTGCTGCTGTTGCTGTAGGGCTCCGTTTTCACTTTTAGCGGTGGCGGCAGCAATGGCTTTGGCAGCCTGGGGGTTGTTAGGCGCCATCCAGGCGACGCACTCCACTACGTGCTCATGACCATGCAGTACCGCGAGGGCTTTGCAGTCACGAGCGCTCCCGCCCATCGCCCACACCCGAACCTCCTGGTCGTTGGAACAACTCGCCAGCAGACTACCATCGAGATTCGGTCGTACGCACCGGATCCACTCGCGGTGTTCTGTGAGTGTCTTCACGCAGTACCTATGGTAGTGTACAGACAAATGCTCAACTCACCAGATGCTTGGCGTTCTAGACCGATGATATGTGAACTCTCAAAGTGGGAAAAAACTGCAACTTAAAACAATAGCAATGCATCATTTAGCAAGATTCTTGAAATTTAGACACTTGGAGGAGTCCCTATATAAAGATGTATCAATGCGCATACATAAAGGAACATCGTGAAATGGAGTAGCTTTCTGTGGGAAGTAAACATTATTGAAAAAATAATTCTAGTATGGGCACCTATGAAAATTACTTCGAAGCGATGGATGAACGATGGGCCTTACAGTACCAAATCAGTGATTTAAAAATAACAAGAAATTACTACTCCTCGATAAAAACGAAGAACAATAAATTGATGCAAAACTATCCATGAAATAAGGCGGTTGACTTAAATTTATTAACGTTATTTCTGGGAAATTAGACGTTTCGACTAGTCTGTCAATTACACGGTATTAAAAAGAAGCCATTCCAGACAGGAAGATTGACATCGATAAGTAAATCCTTTAAATAAAGTAGACATCATTTACAGCGATATGATATTTTCGAATGCACAGTTATAGCTCCTCAGAAGAGATGAATTAGAGCCTAAAGGACATTACAACACAGCAAATTCAACAATACAAATCCTGTAACTTGAAGGTTTCGATGCACCTGAAAATTACAATAATAAGTATGCAGTGACATCCGAAAGCTAATACTATAGGCAAATGACGCCTTTGAAAGGAGGTGCAAAGTAGATCCCCACAAGACTGTAGAATGACTGCAGGCAATACACCTATGCTAAGGCACATCGATGAACTTTTGGAGCATTCAAATAAAGCCCACTTTTGAAACCATGAGTGTCTGCAAGACCCGTTGCAACAGAAGGCTAGCCCCCAACAGTCGCAGCTAGGATAAACAGGAGTGATTCAGAGAAGCAGACTAAGGCTAGTGACTATGCGATGAATAGGCTCATTGCGATCAAACACCAATGGGGATTACTTTCGCCTATTTCAATGTCAAAATTGAAGGGGAATGAGGGACATAAAGGCATACCCGGTGGCGACCTCCCAGACCTTAATTGTCTTGTCTCGACTGGCGCTGACGAGAAAATCACCGGAGGGTAAGAAGCAGACACTGGAAACACTATGGTCGTGCCCAGAGAGGGTTTTGATGCACGTATACGTAGTGAAGTCCCACAGTTTCACCTGCATGTCGGCGGAGCAGGAGACGAGTAGGTTGCCCGAGGGGTCGAAACCCACGTCTTGCACCGCGTCCGTATGACCCTTCAGCGTTGCTTCAAACTCGCCCACCTCGTAGTCCCACACCTGCACCAATTGAAGTCATTGCACAGCATTTATGGAGCGAAAAACCACCCATGTATAGGAATTTCTCTTTATACCCCACTACTTGTGGTATTTTTTACTGACCCGTACTTTAAAGACGCAACATTATTGCTTCAGTCTGTTGTTGACTTTTGAGTCTCGACGCTGGAGCCATTTGAATAAGGTCAGCATGGATGGCTGAATGGATATCGCCTTCTGCATGAATCAAATGGGTAAACGTCACAAGGTAAAAATAATGGCAGTGAGCTATGCAAGTCCACAATATTCTCGTGCATAATAGAAAATGACTCACTTCCGGTAATCAAAAACATCCCATTAAGTAAAATAGTCGGTACTACTCAGCTACTGTAGGCGGATATTTCGACTTGTCTGACGCAATGGGTCGGAGGTGTGCTGGGTGATAATAAAAATATAGCAGGCTTATGAGGACACCGCTACTGATCAAATTGCCTACAACAGTAAATCTTAGAAACCACCTAGTGCACATTGCATCGACTACTGCGTTCGTTCCTCCCGAGATTTGGCTACTAATAGCAAGCTATGAAACATCCAGCTAAAACTGACAATCTGCACCAGTTAAGCAAAACCTTATTTATGAAGTAATTACGAGAAATTTTCTGGCACTTCGTTCAATCCCGTCCATTCATTGTGTCAATGGGTTGGTGTGGAACACAAACCACCAACAATAAGACTGACAAGGTAACGTCAAGACGACCTCTTGCCTAAAACATGACTGCCTAATTCTTCTATTTCCTTTACCTTGTCGACTTTTCTTTCAGACGGCCCAACATTTTTGAATAATAGCGCCAAATCTTTGATACTAACTTACGCCTAGTGTGAGACGGATATTTTACTGGTAGTATTACTTGATAAATACACCGCTACTTCAGTTTTGGGCCTAACTTTCGGATCCCTTTATCAAACCACAAAAGCTCGAAGAGAAACCACCTCATTTTTTTCCTACTGCTGCATAAAGGAGACAAGTCGCATGAAACCTATGTTCATACAGATCATTTTGACAGTCATAAATGCTCGGATAAATTGCCCAGACGGACCTCAATCCAAAAGACTACTGGTATGTGTTTGGTTTCTAGCTTGTGTTGCTCGTATTCTCAACTGGCAGATATGTGTCGTACATAAAAAAGGGAAAGCCTGATCAATAGGCAGGCTAATTATTACTACACCATCTGGATGGAGTGCTTATAAGCAATAAGGCTCGAATGGCATCTCCACTCCTAGCCTTGGGAACTGTCTATCACTAATCACATTCATCAAATCTTAAACTAATTTAGCGCCACATTCATTCCTGGTACTAAACCGTCACAAACAAGCCATGAACAGTTAAAGCTTTATTCTAAATGTTGTGTAAACTAAATTTCAATTACATAGTTTTTATGGCAAACGCCGCAATACTTAATCATTGTACCAATGGAATGCTTACAAACCCCATAAAACATGAAAATCTCCCATCGACCAAAAAAAAACATCGAAAAGGTTTCTTGCCTGAGCCGAGGTCGTTGAACTAATTCTTGCCCCAGAGGGTTTAATATTATCAGAGAAGTCATCGTCAGGCTACCCGAACTATGATTTGAAAAACCCATCAACGTTCCAAACTGTGCATGAAGTAGCCGTTTGTTTCACGATGAACTAGTTCAAGGGCGACAAGCCGTTTACTCACATTATTTTTCCAAATAGATTTAAAGGGCAAGTAGCTAAATGCTGCATGACCGTAGAGCTAATGAATTTGCCAAAACTAGTGCATGTCTCATCCGCTAAGAAGTTGCCTAATTTTGAATGGAGTTTTCCAAAGGATCCTTTTCACTTAGGGTAAAAACCGCCAGTCAGAACGAAACCCTTTACTCGAAATACGGAGGTGATGCAAGATCATTACTGGGCGCGCTCACCAAAAGCTTAGTCATAGGTATTTTGTTATCATTTTATAAGGTTACCCTAAAATGACGATACTTTAAAGTCCAACCGTAAGTCAGTGAATCAGCCAGTAAATCAATGCTGGCTTCTGCAATGCTGCGAAACGTTGCAGCATGATGCGGTACTATTTTAAGCACTCGTACAAGAGTGTAAAAGCAAACAACTGAAAAGGAAGCTCAAAATAGTTAGAAAAACTAGTAGTATTAAACGAAAGGAAGAAACTATCATATCTCAAGTGCCAGCATGACTGTAAAGAGCGTCAAGACCATTAAAATAGTCTTCACTGGCTAGTGACTAGTGCCTGTGACCGAAGAGCCGGCTGAACTACGTGCGCCGGCACACTGTCTACAGCGGTTGAGAACGAGCGATGCACGAAGGCATAAATACACAGCCTTATTACCAACTCATTCACGAAAAAAAGACGACGCAAAAATCTTAACAGAAGCATAAACAAAATAAAGGCTTTGAATTAACCGGACGTGGATTAGTGAATCATTCTTAAGATTCCTCATTCGACCCATAAGCCATACGTTAGAGTGATAATAATCCCATATCTCAACATAGACCAAATTGACAAGGCGAAATTTCCAGTACTTTTTATCTGATAGAGGCACATTATTTAAGGTAGGCCTACTGGATAAACTAATATCAAGTTCAAAATGATCCTAAGTTAGTGCGCAACGCTGAGCTTACTAATCCATGCTAACCTAGGAGGCAAGTCATAAAAATGAAAGAAAAGGATTTTGCACAACTCATAAAATGATAGAACATAAGTTGGGCAATTGGCCCCCAAACTGACCTTAATAGTAGCGTCCTCACTGGCAGAGACAAAAACATTGTAATGGGGGTGAAGTTTAACCCGAGTGACAGTGGAACGATGCCCAGTGAGGGTGTACTTGGCGGGGGGTCGGGGAATGGCATCGACGCCACCACGACGGTCCCCGCCGCGGCCGGGCAGACCGGAACCCGGTGCCGCACCCACCGGCCCGTAGCCCACACTCGTCTGCAGCTGCTTGTTCTCACGCTCCGCCTCCGCCAATTTCGACTCCAGATCCATTACCTGAAGGGAAGCAAAGTGGCAACGACCCCGTTGTCAGCCTTTCAAGACTGATGAAGAGTCTGTCTGATGCGTTTCGAAAAAAGCACGTCAGGCCGTAAGCATGAATTTTAAAACGGCCCGTTGAGACACGGTATTGAAGTTCACTCACTATACTATCTCGCCTTGTGAAGATCTTCATCATACGAATGACGACTTTTAAGAGAAATTAGGGGTCTTTAACGTGTTTAAAAAACTACATTTGTCAAAGTCCTGGCAGGAGGAAAATTGTAATAAACTCTGATGAGTACAAATGGTGCGAATTGAGTTTGCAGAGTGACAAGGCAGTATTCGGATTGGCTTTGTGGACGCACAAATAAGAATATACATTGCCTTTAGGGCGAGTTCCTCTAGCAGCATACCAATGAAGATACTGCGTTTTCGGCAAAATAACCGCACCCAAGTAGTCCCGTTTATCAGATTTTTTAACAGACGCTCAGTTTACCAAATAGTTCGCCCCAAAGAAAACCAGTTTGAGCATCATTATCTGTAGTCCGACCAGCTAAAAGAGTACTATCTACTTTAAATAGCTACTTAGTCAAGCTTGATTCATTTGACTTTACAAATACTAAAGAATGTGTGCGAGGTATTAAAAAATACTTGGTCAGTAGAAAGTGGTTTATGAGGTATACAAAGCTCCATAGTCTGATCAAAATAGTTTAAAATGCTTACTGGAAAGAAAAATATTACATTGATTACCATTAGATCCAAAAAGGAGGGAAATGGCTACGCTGTCTTACATAAACATAAATAGAACATTTAAATACAGCTCTTCAAAATAACATATATTTGATATACGTGCTGATGGTTACCTTCATTTGAAGACGAATAACCGAAGTCCATTTCTTTTCCAATAGGCCAGCGAACTTGGCTTCAATGTTAGAATTCTAAGTGTATGAATGTTAAATGAATGTGACAAGCGTACTAAACTAGCTTCCCGCTTGAACTCATTCAAAGCTTGTTCATAACCATTTGACCGAAGGTAGTCTGCAATCGCTTGATGCCTGTATCAGTTTTAGGATAAAGTAAGCTAAAAACATACAATTCGTCCCGTTGACGTTCTGACAGCACCATTTAGCCAGGAGGTGTAACTGAAAGTTCTGATGTCCAAAAAAGGAAAAACTGGGGTTAGTAAGAGCACAGGATAAAAAAGGAATTTTAAATCTGTTCCAGTGAAAGTACTAGACAAAAGACCAAAAAGCCACACCAAAAAGTAAAAACAAAGGAAGATCTAATTGTACCCATAACTATCAATTGTAGCTAGGATTTCTCGCAAAATGAAAATGCCTTCGGAACAAAAAGTAGGAAACAAAGCGGCTTCAGTTCCAACCTAAACAAAAAGGAAGTACATACAAGTGAAACCATAACTATGTCGCGATGTCAAAGGGGAATTAATGCAAAATTACAAACAGGACGCATATACTTCGGAATGAGGAAAAAGGAAAAATACCATGCAGACCCAAAATGAAGACAACTTTTGCAAAAAGATCAAATTTGATGATAAAATCCACATGAAATCTGTAAGAACATGAGCATCATGTTGGGAACCACGTTGAGAAAGACATAAGTACCTCAGTTCCAGTGGAGAAAGGACACTCAAAAAACCCCCCTTACATTGTAAAGAATTTTAATGCTCCAAGTAATCAAACAAGATCATTAAGGCTAAAGTATGTAGGCAATTATGAAAAACTAGCAGATTAATTAGTATTTTCAAAGAATTATACCAAGCACGTGACATCAGGTTCTCTGGTTTTTTGCCAAATAGAGAATTCTTATGGTGGAGTAGGAACAAGCGTTTTCTCACCTTAGACTTAGGTATGTTATTTTACAAGTGCAGAACAAAACCAATCATTCATCTGGCAACGAGTTGGAATACTTCAGCGAGATGGTCGCATGAGATTTAGCGCGAATAAGAAGCACATATTTGGGAGTTTGTCATGGATACCTTGCCACACCTGCCTTTTTTAATAAGCTGGCTCTTCCTGAGTTTCGTTTGTATGAACATCAAATCATATTCAAATTCGGTGTGCTTTGTGATTAATGTGGCTATTTACCTTCTGTGGAAGCTTTAACGGAACGCAAATCTTGTTTATGTTTTGCCGCAGTATCAGCTTTCTTACTTCCTTGAGGCCAGACCACCTTTTACATTGCTTCAATCATTCGATATATCTAGGTAATTTGTTGGACAAACTATATTTGGTAAAATATAATGTTGCGTCAAGTCTATTCCTGGATGTGCCCTCACTTGCCATTTTTGTGCTCAACATAGCCACCATATCGTCTTTTCTCATGTTTTCTTTTCTTAAAATTACTAAACAGATTTGATGATCACGACTTGACTAGGTATTTCTGAAGTCAAGGCTTGACTGACACTGGCCATTCGTTGATTTTCTCGGCGGTTGATATGATTTCCTTAGTGTACTGATGGTTTCTGCAACTGGTCTAGGCGCACTTCCTTGCGAAAGGAGTTTTAGTTGTGAGGAATGCTTGGCCAATACCTCGGTAAGTTTACTTTTGCCACTTTTATTTCACAAATCCTGCCCTTTGTTAATCAGTCAACATGGGACTTGTCAGCCAATATTGGTGATTTGTGGATTTTGGTACTCATCCTTCGGTTTTTTTGTAATCGATCGTTTCAGTGTAGCCTACACATTTTACTCATTTTTTTCGGGTTGGCTTGATGGTAATCACAGTTTAGTGCCTGTAGAGATCGCTTCTACTTGTTTCTACCCAGCATATGCTTCAAAAACAGATAGCACTAATATATGGCTGTGAACTATAGACGGGAACACCTCACTTTTGCTAGAAATTTTACACTGAACCATAAGTATATATGTAAGCTGAAGTTTCTGGTGTTGTAATCTGATACTCTTTGACCATGCTTTTGTGCAAATGCTTTGTCGTTATCACCATACAATTGTGCGGTACGCAATTGATCAAAGACGACCTGCACATCATTGATGTACAGCTAGTCTCTACGAGAGATGGGCCCATAGATTATCTAATATTTTGGTTGTCATTCACACTGATTTCTTCATTTTTGGGCTTCTCTTCTGTAATCTCCGAACATATCATCTATTTGACTTCCTATGATCCCTTGATCTGCGTAGACTCTGGCTATTCACAGAATCAACCAGGTTAAATGCTCATATCAACTACTGCATTTTATTTAGGGCTCTATGCTACAACAAGCAATATCCCTATCGGCTCCATGCTGATTGCTTCTCGGTTCGATTTACCTATTAACCATTTCAATAGATTTCATCCGCCAGAAACAGATTTTAGAGTATATCACTCACTTTTGCATGTAATTGTGATTTGAGATTTCCATACAAAGGCTTATGAACACTCTTTACTTGCTTACACTATAAATATGTCACATTGCAAAGCGACTTCGATTTTATTTTACACTTATCTATCCTGTCAATTTTTCTCCTAACGTTAACACGACAAATTCCACTAACTTTGTTCTCTGCTTTTTAGATCAAGAGATCATTGTATTGATATATCATTGCTGACCACCCCGATCGCACCATTCCGCCTACTGTTTTCACCTAACATTCACTCAGGTTCACTAAGTTTGAGTTCCTATCGTCCCCTTCAACGCGTAACCTCTCCAGTAGGAAAAACTGTTTTCAATCATAGCATTCACTTTTCGCAACAATAATGTATTCACCTGTGCAGCACCGCATGCCAATTGTGGATTATTTTTAAGCGATCCACTTAAGAATATGTGAAAATTTTTGAAGTTGGTTAGACTTCATGGTGTGCATAGCTCAGATGCCGTTGAGATTTGGATATTTTGCACATTGTGAGAAGTTCAGTGTTCCTATTACTGGCTTTTAACTGCATATACACGGATGGTAAGGGTCACTAGGTTTTATTCCGCATGCACCAAGAACGAAGTACAGGATTCAAAGTTGACTCTCGACACAATCGCATCTATTGACAAAATATGTAACATATCAAGGCTACTTCAAGGGGTCTCTGTACTTTACTTGTTTTTTTAACATGGGTATGCCTGTTCATTGGTGTTCTCCATTGTCTATTTTATTAGCTAGAATCCAGCATTTTCTCGATGTCTGGTAGAATCCGTTTCCTGGACTGAATAATGGTATATATTGTTTTGATCCATGTACAGTGTATGTACTGCCAGTCAACAGAGAAGTGTTTGGTCTTCCCGGTGGCGCGACTAGGCATGGTTTCATGGTCGTCCTGTCCGCCCAACCTCTCCGCTCTCTACTGGTACAGCTGCCACCTTTCCTATGCTTACTTCCTTGCCCTCGCGATCGCAATCTTCGTTTTCGTGGGCTTTCTCCTCCTCTGCGTCTGCATTCTATGCGTCCTCAGACGTCGCTGTAATCGTATTGATCTCGGTGGGACTACTGCTGCCGCCTTTTCCTCTTCCCCCAATTTTCGTCCTTCCCTTACCTACCACTACGCTAGACGCCTCGTTAGGTGTGTCACTTCATTTGTAAGCAGTACCTTGAAAATAGGGAGAGCGATATTCATAGTGGTCTACTCCCGTAGCTCCCGTCAGATCGTTCACTGTCAAAACGCCTGTCTTATTTGAAGCTCTCTGGGCGTCTTCATTCCCTCACCGTCCGATTTCCGTGTCATCTAGCATGAAATTTGGTTCTTGCCAATTACGTTACTATCGCTGAAATGAAGCTACTTCTGCACCTATATGCCTTGCAACGCAGAGAGTTATTTTTAAGTGTGCTCGACGCTTTCTTCCTTTAAGAGGCTCTTGGTCTATTTCGCTGACGCTTTGGAGAATGGCTGCGTTTAAATGGCTCGACTGAGTACCTTAGTAGATGTGTAATCGCTGCCAATTACCCAACCCATAGGAATCTGAAGGAGAAATCAGGAACAGTAATGTAGAACACCTACTTTGAACGAGATCAATCCGTCTACAAGGGAACTGATAGGGCTGATGTTAAAACAGTAAGCGATATGTGGAATTCACATATGGTTTATATTTTAAGGCATATGAGGCGTACATGCTGTAGAACATTGTGCAGATTTGTTCCACCTATATCGTTGATTTTGGAAGTCTTATCACTGCTGTTATCCACATGAAAAGCGCCTTGTTTAGGAGGCGAAGGTGTTTTAATGATCAGATGTCACAGGAAAATGACTCCTGAATTTGGTACAAGCTTGTAGATTTCGGAGAAACTTATTCGAAGGGGCTAATTAACGAACCTTCATTGTGTAATCGCCGACCCAGTCGCATGAAACAAACAGAGCCGAACTTTTAGAGTTGAGATTGAACGTTTCCTAATCCTTCGTTTTGTTGAGTCACTCCCAGTTCCTTTCATTGTTGGCACAGTTCCCCATCGCAAAATCATTTGCTTAGACGAGAAGCGGGATAGTGTATTTAGTTATGACTGATTTTTTACATGAAGAAATTGTCTTAGCACATTATACTTATTCAACTACTTTTTGACTTTTCCCTTTTTTACACAGGAATAGCTTCACCTTTAAGGACTCACCTAAATCAAATCGATTGCTGGATTCCCCACAGTTTCGCAGAAACTATGGTATGCTGCGCCTTCCATTTACCTTATTTGCCGTAGAGCTGCCAGGGGCTTAGTTTTCATACAACTTGTTAAAAACCTATCACTGCCGTGGTCGCTAAAGCTCTACCTGGATTTCAGAGTGCGGATTATTGGATGGGCTTAACTAGTGTAGTAGTGGACTGCTATTTCCACATCTAGCCACCTTTGAGCGTCAAAGGGGAACAAATCAATTGACCAATTTGGCATTACATAGTACTTACTAGGATTGGGTGTTGCCACGGAACTAACTCCCTGTGCGCCAGTGGGCTAATTGATATATTTACCCTTTGTGTACCACCTTGGTTCTTTATTCAACCACTCATCTTTAGCTTATCTCTATCCTCGTTCATTTGTAACAATAAATTAGTTACACTCTTGCAGTGACTAAAATTAAATCTAATTACCTAATAATTTTTGTCAGTTAAAAGCTGAATTACCGGAGTCTACTGGAATTCAAAGTGGACATTTTTATGCTACTGAAGTAGATATTAGTAAGTGGTTTCTTAACTCTATTTCGCCTTCACATTACTATTTTAGGTCCTACTTGAAATTGTTCTGTGCAAATCGTCCAACTGTTCTTGAAACTATTTCATACCGGATCCTTTACATGAGAACTTGCCTATTTTTTTCTTCATGGACGCGCTGTGTTTTGATAAAATAGAAGTGCAAACAATGTTCGCAGCGCCCTGTACTGCAGCGCTGGGTGTACATCCTATCTTATTTCATTTCACACCATTCGTAGTAAGATGATTCGGAACCTCGTGTACTTAAAATGAGGTTCATTAATAAACCTTACTGAATTTACCTCTTTTAATCAAATGATGGAGCTGCTGAAGAGTAGGAAACACCACCGTCGCATGATATATCAGCTCAAAAGCATGTTGCTCGTCTAATTTTTCTGTTGAAAGATACGCAAGAAGAACAGTAACACTATTAGTTGGAAAGTATTATCACTGTCAATCAATTTTCGTGAAGAGTTATCTGATCCAGAATGGAGGCTTGGGTATGGAATAAGGCCCTCATATTTTTGCTACTATGGTTGATTTGACAAATAAAACTCTATTTAAATGCTTTGCAAAGTGTAAATATGCACGCTTCTCGTGATGCATCAAACACTGCCCTGAAACTCGCATTTTAGCACCATAAATATTAACTATGAACTTGAGTTTATCTGTGCTACTACCACACAAGTTTCAGGGTGTTTTAAAGTGAAGATAAGGCTTAGTTCTTACCTGTAGGTGAATTTTCGCTTAGGAAAATCAGCATTTTCGTGCAATTTTTTCCGCGCTTTGGCGCAAATGAAGAATCTCAATTTTGGTATAGGTATTTTGCATCAGATGTGAATTTGATTCTTTTACGGAAACAACGCAGTGCGTGATGCTATTGGGTGTTTCTTCTGAAAGACCAATAACTTAATCATGTATTATAATTTCGAGTCACCTAGAAATGCTGAAGTGGCCAAAAAACTAAAAATTGACTTAAAATCTGCGCATGTAAGTGCTGATTGGGAAGTTGTATTTCCTACCGTTGCATAGGCGCTACTCAGGAACCTCGTGCACTGCTCATTAAAAAGTGCTGCTAAACTAACGAGTTAAATTAGATAGAAGCAGAACAGAAGGTAGTTTTTGGTTACTAATTCTACGTCATGCAAAATGCGTCAAAGTAAACAATGTACTGAACTTCTAGATGTATTTAAGTAAGCGGTACCAGAGTACTCCACTGACTCTTAATGTACTTAAAGCATTCGGAAACTTTCGAAGTGGTGATAGGTTGGGGGGAAGATCCGTACAAAGATGTTTAATATTTGACGGAATAGTTATGTACTAGCCTAGCCGCGTTGCAAATCCGGGCGAAGCACCTAACACGGTATAGATTATCCTGACAAACTTGTAATCCAGCGCCAGTGTTCAATCAATTGTCGTTTTAGCACAAGATGTCGAATGGATTCTCTAAACGTTCCACAAAAACGCAGTCCAATTAAGTGAGTGTTGTGCAAAAAGGGAGTCAAACCGAATGGAAACAAAGTTACTGGCAGTAATTTTACAATTTTTTTAGTAAATTCAACGAAAATGCTCCGTAAACAACTCCAAGAAAAATCCTATGAAAGGCATCGGCGAAGGGGGTACATAGAATTGTATGTATATGTACAATGCATGTAGGACTAATGTTTTCAGTTATTCCAAGTGTTGGAGATTCCGTTTGTTAAGAACTTCGGAATTTACAGCCTTATAGACGGCTTGAAGTGGGGAAAGGGAAGCTCTTGAAAGCACTGATTGGCTATGTCACCTTCCCAAATCCCATTTCTAAATGGGGAACAGTGCGGTTCTGCGTAGAACGTTGGGCTGGCTGTCACATGCGGTGAAGGAAGTAACACCCAAACAGCCGGGCGGATTGCTTTAAACAACTTGGGCGTCTGCAATATTTAGTAAATGATTGCAATGGGTGTGGATCTGTACGCGCATCACGATGCCCCTACACTTGGGTTTGTGAGCAAGGTAGTATTCGAGGTTCAAATGGAGAACAGTTATTTACATTTACCATGATTTCCATTTCTATCATGGATCTGGTCAATGAAAAACACTTCAGTTGACCATAAAATGAAGTTTGGTGCTGTACATTGGAATGTTTCCAAAACATATTCACGCTGGTTTTTTAAATGCACGAGAATCTGTGGGATTGATTGTTGTTTCAACTGTTAACTGGGATCTTACGATCTCCGCTGTTTGATCCCCAAGGCGGTGGCTGGGAGCTTCCCAGGCGCCACTTATACTATCGGTCTTACAATCATCATAAGGGTTTGTAGTAAAAATTGGGGTAACCAAATAAATTTGTTTGCTTTTTACTTGCAAAAATCCAGAAAAATCCTCAAATGTTTTGTTAAATCAAATTACCACAATTTGTAATGCCTTCTCAACGAGATACAAGTTCGCAAAAACCATTTTTATGAAATCTTTTGTCTTCGCGGACAAAATCCTATCCCTAGCCGCCTTCGGTTTTCATCTTTTTTAGCCCCCATCTGTCGATTCCGTCCCACCCGTAGTCGTAATTGCCTAATGCCAACAACAGTTGATAGCCGCGCGGATAAATGGTAGGGAAATACAGAAGCTGAGGTGAGACACTCTATCCCGGGACGCGGACGAAGTGCCACGAGGCCTTGCGTAGTTGTTTGGACTTCAACAAGAAATTAATAGCGAAAAATTGCACCTACAGTTTACCGCAAGCAAGCCTAGCGTAGTCTTGTAGTGAAGTGGTACGTACCGTTGAAGTATACGTTGTCTAGTGAATGGGTCCAATGTGAAGATACGAAAACCACTATTCATCACAAATCGCTCCAAAACTTATTTTCATCTACTTATGCATGTGGGGCCATTCGGCTAAGCTTCCTTGGTTCTCCTGGTTGACGCAAATACAAACAAATAATTTTATCAATCTATCTATTTTAATCGGTTGTGACGCATTCCTCTATTCTCGTAGGGAATAGTCGGTCTTCCTAAAGGTGGTACGTCTATCTTTGAGCGATTCGTCATGGGAGCTAAATTATTCATTTAAGCTATTTTATTCGTGTTAGTGTCTTTTACTGTCTAACTTTCTTAAAATTCTAAAAAAATGTTTACTACCAGAAGCTTTTGCAGCTTTGAAACCGTGCTAAACCTTGTTCGTAATAGAGACAAGATAAAGTCACGTCAATCAGGTTTTTTCTACATAAATAAGGACTGTCATACCGATGGACTGACGCATTTTAGCCATAGTGTGTAATATATACTTGCAAACAAACAAATGAGTTTTGCAAGTCCCTACGAGTTATGCCAAAGCAAGTTATTGCTGCGAGCTACACCGTGAACCCTACAAATCCTCTGCACCTTGATACTTACAGATTGGGACATTTAGAATCTTATCGGATGCAGTGTGGGAAATAACTTCATAGTATGATTAATTTTGCTGAATAAATATGTAGACTCGACAGAAGGACTGGTCGTGGATTATGGCGAGTAAAGGAGTGTGGTATATGTTGACTAGGCTCACGTAGTCCATGAAGGTATGCCATTTATTAGAGAAATAATCACAAGGCTAGGAGAGTAGTTCAGAACCATGCCTGGTTAGTATCGAAATTGCAGTGAAAAGAGAAGGAAGAATATTATTATAAAAAGTTTCTAGGAAGCTACTGTTAAATGCGAATCCCATTAAACGAATTGTACTTTCAAATAGATATTCCTAAGACAATCAATTCCAGCATGCAGTAAGTTTACCACATGAAACAATTGCCCACTCCCATGAATTGCGAACAGCTGAAGATAAGTTTCATCGAGTTTTGTTAGACGCACTGGTGATGTGGCACTGCGAGGTCTTACGCCAATCTACATAGACTATCATGGTTTGCAGTGCTAGTCAGGTATTTGGAAGTCACTGGAGAAACAGTGCGGGGCCCTGCTCCTGCCGCCTGAGTTGTTTGTTTCCTAGCCTTTCATTTGATCTACGAAAGGCTAAGTAGTTCATGCATCACCACAAGATTGCACTTGTTGCTAGCAGTAGAAGGGGTAGCTAACAAGTGTAAGGGGTATAGTAAACAAAATTTTGTCCACCTCTGTGCATGGCTAAAGCACCTCACAGGGAGATCTAAAGTTTATTAGATTGTGCTAGTCCTGCAATGGGAATACAGGTAGTTTATATTTAGTTGTAAACACTTCCCTTCAAAAAGAGCCGATTTGAGTTTGATCCTAACAGCGACGATGGCTGCCTTTAAACATCTCAAAAGTGTCATTTCCAATCTGCCGTAGTACATGTGCCTAAATTAATTCGACTTTAGCCTGAAAAACTTTTGTAATTCACGTTCCTGACCGGACCGCATGCTTCAATGCAATATGGCAAACAAATAATTAACATTTATGCCAAATGAGTTCGTCTTTCTGGGGATATTAGGGGATTATTATACCAAGAAGATTGGTAATGGAATCGAATTCGCCTCTGCACAATCAGTAGTGAATGCGGTTTTAAATTAATCCGTACTTAAACTTCGAGGAATCTTTTTTATAATCGGTTTCTGCTTATTTTGTCCGGCGCTTCTCTACAAACACTAGTAATGGATATAATATAAGTATAAAATTGCAATGCCAACTAAAAACTGGACAAAATAAAATCACGGTTTAGATGGCATGCGATGAATGAATGAAATAGAGTTGAGATCACAGAAAAGAACTCTCCGTGCGACTGCTCAGAATAAAAAATAAAATCCTAAACCGAAATTTAACAGGAGCGTATCTTTTAGACGCATAAAGAAGTTAACCTAAGATTGCATGAATTGAACACATTGTTACTTTTTCTCACTTGTCGCTCATCTATCCTCTGCCAGATTTAAGGCTTATTCTGGCTAATCTCCTTTAAGATTAAGGTCTCAGGTTTTATAGTTTGAACCGATTGTGTAAATTGTTTTTATTAAATCTGTCATAATCAAAGGAGGATTTACAATATTGACGTGGCACCCACCAGAGCCTATGTCAAAAGGGAGAAGCAAATCTTTAGAATAACTGAGGAGCAATTTGAGCAAAAGAAA